CTACAGGTCAGATGATAACTCGCGGCCTCGACCACTGCCGGCCAATTCTTTGCAGCCGGAGCAAACGCGCGCGCGCACCAGCCGAGAGTGAATTTCTCGCGTCACGGTGCTCGACACGGTGCCTCGCATAATGCCGGCCGAGTTTTCGGAATCATGCGCATACCATTTAGGAAAGATGACGGATTGTACGGGAATCCCCGCGCAATCGTAATTCTTCGAACGAGGTACGCGCGCAGCTTTTTACACGATGAAGGCTACCCTCGATTCTCGAGTGTAAAAAATATTATGGGGTGTAAGCCAGGTCTCTCGATATACAGGGTGAGGCATTTATAATGATAATGACAAATGTCTCGTAAAATATGCATGCTATGGAAAAATGTTTCGGGCAAGATTTGTTTGGTATTAAAGGAAACACGGGATGGCACTACCAGTCTTGTTACAAATGGCGCTCTATTGCGGGGTAAGCAAAAGTCGATTTTATTCTCAAACTCGCATTTTGCCTTGTTTCATGTGAAAGTGAGAATAAATATAAATACTTTTTATTCGGAGCATTTTTTTATAAAATGTAAATTTCAATCGAGATAATCGGCTTCGAAGACGGATAATTCGTTTCATCGCGTTTAAAAAATGTTTTAATAATTCGGTAAAAAGTCATAAGATGATTTCTGTCAAGATATCGATTAGCGTACATGCGTTCCCATTTTGGATATTTTTTCCCATAAATAACAATCACACCAATTATTTCTCCTTTGCAAAACGAACCATTTTATTACGAATTCAAAAGAATATCATTATACAGGATACTCAGCACTGAATCTTATTTTTAGATTTCAATGATTTTTCGTTGTGCAATCACAATCCTTATAAACACGACTTTTAAATGATGTTATTTAAATAATATCTACCACTACTATATATATACATATATCTACGCGAAGCAAGGTCCATCCCACATTTCTCGGCGAATTATAGTGCGAAACAAGGCGTATTATTATAGCGTATTATTGTACAATTTCACACGAGTTTTTAACTTCCTACCAAACCGTACAATAATTTAATGTAATCAAAGAATAAATTATTTGAAACAATTACCATTTTCACTCCGAAATCTTTTTAATAATTAGCAACTTCATAGACATTTATGAAAATATCATAAAAACGAATCATCCGTCCTTAAAGTCGATAAAATCGGAAAATTACATTTTATGAAAAGAAGCTCTGATAAAAAAATATCTATTTCTACTCCTTTTTTCAGCTGTCTAATGTAATTATTTCAAATTGAAATATTTTCCCGTTTTGTGTTTTTTTTTTTTTTAAGTATTGGAGCTTCTTAAAATGCCATTTAATATGATTCATTAGTGCACATAATCTTAAAAATAACAACTGATACAATTAGCGACGAAAAGTTATATTCGACACTGCATTCGATATGAATTCCAACAAGGAAAAAATACTGCTAAAGCATTTGAATCAATTTGCTGTGTTCTTGGAGAAAATATCGTGTCCCACAATACATGCAACTATTGGTTTCATCGCTTTAAAGACCGCTCTAAAGGTGATTCTGACGTGAGTGATCCTCCGCGCTGTGGAACGCCGCGAAAGCTTGAGGCCAACAGTTTGGAAACGTTTTTGAATGAAAACCCGTCCCAACGCGGATAAAACTTGCAGAACAGTCCGGAGTTGACCAAGCAACAGTTTCAAAGCGACTACGTGAAATGGGAAAAATTCGGCTCGACAAAAATAAATGTCTTATGAATTGTCGCGAAACAGCATTAAGTATGTGCATTCCACTGCTTTCCAAACAGCGCAAAAAATACTGTTTGTCGAAGACTATTATTGGCGATGAAAATTGGGTCATGTATGACGATCAGGCAAAATCAAGTATTCACATCAAAAAAGTTCTCTCGTGTATTCGGTGAGGAGCGAAAAATTATGTGCACCAATGAATCATAACGAATGGCGTTTTGGAAAGTTCAATACCAACTTTAGAAAGACAAAACGAGACGGGAAAATATCTCAATTTAAAATAATTACATTGGAGGGCTGGAGAAAAACTACAACTATTTTGCATACACCTAATGTAATATATGCAGTTGAAAATTAACGTTCGGAAAGGCGACAGACGCATTCCAGCCGAGGACCCTCTTCTCTTATCTTGCTCATCGAAATTTTCGACCTATCAACTTACAAATCCGACAACCTTACCGCATGTTCCTGATCGTACACGCGGACACGTGTCGTGACGAGGGCACACGCGACCGGCGCGAACGCGCGCCAGGCGAAACGCCAAGGAGAATGGCGTTTGTTTCACCCCATACGTCGATTTTTTTGCCGAGATTACGGACGTTTGATACGTCGGCGTTTTCAAAAGCGCGCCGAGCGGCGGCACGCGCGCGTGCATCAACATTGTAAAAGACGCTCGCTCGCGCGCGCGCGCGCCGCCTGTTTGACGCGTCTCTCTTCCGATTCCGAGACGCGCGCTGCGCCAAAGGAACGCGCACCGCGCGTCTTGTGACTCGCCGCCGTTCGTTTATATCCCCGAGTGGAAAGGTCCTAGCGACGTGCGGCAAATTGTATTCTGCGATGCTGACATCGCGCCGCTTCCGATAAACGCGCGAGATACACGGCGCCGCGGTCTAATGGGAGAATCTAAGGGATTTTCAGGAGACGATTTTCCTTGTTGGGTAAGGAAACGTATACGATAACAATATGCGCGCTGAAACGACAATAATATGACGTATTCATCTGATGGATGCCGCTGAAGATCGTGCGAATTTAAGTACAATTGTAGGATCACCGGATGGATGGGGAAGGCAGAAGAGGGGCAGAAAAAGCAAGCTATTAATATTTATGTGTACTGAAAAGATGTCAAAGTGTGAGATTGTGTTGGGGTGGCTCAGTTGCTCTTCATTTAGCCGAGCTATTGGAACAAACCGTGAGTGTCGTAGCAGGCTTTTCTGGAGATATTCTTCCTTGGACAATTAGAAAAGACGAATACACAAGAAGTGGAACGATAGGATAACGCGATAATAAGGAAACGGCGGATGCATTTCGCGAAACGAGCCGAGGAAAGAAACATGATGTTGAAATTATTATGCAAACTGGTGCTAACATAATCGCTTTAGCGTTCACCGAACGGCATTCCGACCGAAAAGGAAGCGATCAGGGAAGTTTTCAGCGAGTTGGGGGGAAGCGCTCAAGAAATGTTTTTAGTCCAAATGAACGCTGTGCCATGTTGTTCCCTCTCTCTCCCTCTCTCTCAAATACGCTAAATTTCTCAATAACTTGCGGACAACTCCCGTCTGCTTCGATCTATCCCCGCGGCAGACACCCAGAGTGCTTTCTGGACATTTGCCCTGCTGCTTTGCACATTTTATAATCGCTTGAGGAGCCACGAACACTTTTACTAATCGCTCGCAAAGAGCTTCGCTAGACATTTCCAACATGCTCCGTAAAGATTCGTGTCTGCTCTTCTCCCTGACGTCCCAAGTGGGCTGTAATCAGCTTCCAGCAAGTTACGCAGCCACGCTAGCTCGTGTTAGGCTTGCAATATCTTCTTCCCCGCTTCTTTCCTCCGGATGCTTGAACGAGCGCGTGCTCGTTTTAACGCTCATATAAAACGTCCCTTCTTCGAGCGGGATGATGTCATCAGCAGGATCTGCCGGTCACCAGTGGTCCACCAGTGCATCACGATTGTTGATTATTCGACCAAATTGGGAGGATATACTGTGTTCGAAAAGTTCCGAGAATATTCTCATTTAAATTGCATCAACCGTATCGAAGAAACTGTTCTTTTAGATTGATAGGACTGTTTCTGACACGTGTCTAAAAAAAATTACGCGTCGTTACCATTGAACATTGTTTTGAGTCGATAGAGGAGATAAAAGAGAATTCGCTGCGGGTCCTAAGGCTGTACCGAAAATGGACTGTAATAGGTGCCTCGAGGATTGGAAAAAACGTTGGCATAAGTGTATATTGCGGTGAAAGGGGATTACTTTGAAGGGGATATCGTAAATCTGGATGATCAAATACATACTTTTACATTTTATTCAAAATTTCTCGGTACCTTCTGAACACGGTATATTAAGTGTTGCTTTTTTTTCGTTCGATTTTTTATCTGATGTTTTACGTTGTGAGTTGGACGTTTTCCGAATAAAAGTTGAAAGAGCGATGCCAAGTGAACGATACACTGAAAAATTAGTCGATTTCCTCTCGAGCTGGAGAGGTACATAAATTTCTGATTAATCTACGATTAAAAGCGCGATCCCGACGAGGGAAACGGAATCGTATCAGTCGTAAAAGCCGCACGGTTCTTTTTTACCTCTTGCATTTTTTACTCCTGTACAACTCGCCGCCATTGTTAACTTTTCATATTCCGGTTGCGGCGGGTTACATTATCAAGAGTTACTCCGACATTGAGGAACTAGCCGGAGCGTTCGCCTCGCGGTATAACGCCGCCTCTATCCCTCTCGTCCTTACAAAAGCTTAAAAGAATTAATCAGAAACTATCGGTTAAACGAGGGAAGACCGCGTCAATTCTCCCGGAGTTTGTACGAAAGTTGGATGAAAGAGCGAATTACACGAGACTGTCGTCAACGAGCTCTTCGATTTCGAGCGCCGCGCGCGACGATACATCCCCTCGTTCGCTCGTTCGTCCCCCCGCGCGCGCGCGACCCACCTTTGATATTTCAATTACCAGTCGCTGTTACTCTCCTCCGACTAACATTTATCCTCGACGACAGAGAGCAGCGCGCTGAGGAAAAACAGCTCGCGCGAAAACTGCTATTCCAATTATCCGTGTCTAGTCTAATTCTCCCCTAGCAGGATCTCTCTCTTACCCTCTCTCTCTCTCTCTCCCCCTCTCTCTCTCTCTCTCTCTCTCTCTCTTTCTGAAGGCGTGTTGTGCTCGCGTAACGTTTAATGTACGCACGCACGCACGCACGCACACATTTCCACGCAGACTTTCCTCTGATCTCGCTCTGTGTCTCATGTACTTACAGAAACAAACGGCCTGAGGATGCTGGAGCTGGTGGTGCCGGAGCACGTGGTGCGCGGACAAAATATACGCCTCGAGTGCAACTTTAATCTGGACGGCGAGACGCTGTACTCGGTCAAGTGGTACAAGGACGGCAACGAGTTCTACCGATACGTACCCCAGGACAAGCCACCTGTTCTGGTGTTTCCCCTGCCCGGTGTTACCGCGAATGTAAGGATTCTTTATTCTCTCTTGCTCTTCCAGTCTGCTCCTCCCCTCCCTCCCTTGCTCGCCTACGTCTCTATGCGTCCCGGTCTCATTTCTCTTCTTTAGCTTTACTAATGAAATCGAAGTGTCCAGCAGCGGAATAATTCAAGTAACGCGAGATCCGCGTTGAAAGATGGACACTCTCTCTCTCTCTCTCTCTCTCTCTCTCTCTCTCTCTCTGTCTGTCTGTCTGTCTGTCTGTCGCGCGCGTCTTCTCGCGCTCCTCGTTCTCCTCCTCCTCCTCCTCCTCGACCAGTCTCTCCGGACCAGGCTCTTCCATGGCGCTCGGCCGCTGGCCGAAGACGAAGTTGGGCAGACCGGCGGAGCAGCCGCGAGAGTGTGTTCCCGTGTGAATCCGTAATTTGCGAGATTCATTTCGAGAGCGTGACGACTCTCCGTGCGACGCTCGAACGCCTCGTCGCGCCGTTCTCGCTCTCGCCATGCGACGACCGTCTCTGTCGGGCGATTCTCGCGTCGCCTTGAAGCGTAAACGACGCGCGCGAGTCCCGGAGATTCAAGTCCCGGGGAAGGAGCCGATAGTAATACGCTGTTTTGATTCCGCGCCTCCGCGCTCGACGGGCCGCGCGCCATTGGCGCCCCGATGGGAACGTTCCCATGGGAATAGCACCATGGTTGACCCACTTTCAATCACGGCTGCCGCCGCCGCCGCGTACGAACTTGCTTCTTAGACGCGCGTCAATCAGACGGTGAGAGCGAGGAGGGACGGGAGAGGGGGAACAAGCCGAAATCCAAACTCTGCAGTAGGTCGAGGAGGAGGAGAAGGGTGAAAAAGGGGGGAGCCGCGCTCTCTCATATCCGCGCCGTTAAAAAATAAATGGCGCGCGCGCGCACTCGAGGGTGTTTTTTTTTTCCAATCGGAAAACAAATAGCAAGATAAAAGATAAACCAGCGCGGGTGACGCGCGCGTCCTGGCCTTTTCGAAATTTCCACGAGGTGTGCGTGCGCGCACGCATTCGCTCGGTCGAGCGCGCGCGATGGCGAGATAGCGGCACGGATAGCGACCTGGACGACAATGCGTGAGGGTAATAAAGATCGTGAGCGGCGCTTTCAGGGGGCAACAACAAACACCGCGTCGAACGATAACCGCGCGAGCGTCCTCCTTAGTGTGTCGTTCGTGAGGGTGATTTATTTCGCCGGCTAAATGAACAGGTACGGCGGAACGCGAGGAGTTTCGCCCGAGCGAGCGAAAGAGAACAAGAACGAGAGAGAGAGAGAGAGAGGGGGGTAGGCAAGAGAAAGAGGGGGAGTGGGAGGAGTTCATTTTTGGCACTTTCGGCGCTGTTCGCGTCGGCACGGCGAGAGTGAGACGAGCGCGCGTTCTACTCGCATGAGTGAGACGGATGAACGAACGAAGCGGGCTGCGGCACGCGATCTTCGTCGTAATGAGCCTTAATATTAACATTAATCACCGCTCGCGCGGGCGCGCGCGCGCGAGATTGGCTCGGGCGCCCTGAGAAATTATCGGGTTGCCGGCGTGGCCGTTATCGTTGTTTATAATTACATCGATTAGTATAATGAATCGTGAAATGCGCCCGTCGCCGGGCGGCGGCGGCGGCGCCTCGGCTGCCTGTCGCGAGGATGAAAATTGCAAGGATGCCGGCGACGATGACCCGGGCGTTCTTCGCGAAACTAATTTAACGCGAGGCCGCGGCGCTCTCTTCGTTAAGCGCGTCACGACACGTCTGAAATTACCTCTCGTCGTCGTCGTCGTCGTCGTCGTCGTCGTCGTCGTCGTCGTCGTCGTCGTCGTCGTCGTCGTCGTCGTCGTTGTCGTTGTCGTCGTCGCCACAAAAGATAACGCATTACAAATTGATCCCGAGGGAGTCGTGTCTCCGTCCTCCTTCTCCTCGTCCACCTCCTCCAACACCACCGCAGCAGTCCGCCTTCCTCCACCTGGCCGAGTCGCGTACTCTTCTGGGTTAATGATATTTCCAATAATTTCAATTCCTCTCCTCTCCGACTATATCACTCGCTCGGTTTTCCGCGCCATTGAGTGATACGAAAAAATTCGATCCTCCGGCGAAAACTCGCGAGCGAGCGAGCCTTCCAGAGCCGGTACAGGGTGATTCACTGGACCGCGGCTGGGGAGAATTCCCGTGGAAGTTATACGGAAGTTCATTTCGCCCGAAAGACGAATACGCGCGAATACATATATCCTCGATTTTATTCACCCGTCGAGATTTAGGGTGGAAGGGGAGGAAGGGACGGTAGGGTGGCCGAGGAGGCAGGGGGGACGGCGAGATAAAAGTTTGGAAAATTCGATCGACTCGCCGCGGCGCGGGTGAAAATTATTATTCGCCCGGCTCGGCTTTTTCAGCCTCCCCGCTAACGCGGAGAAAGGACACCCCTTCGAAGACGCTCACGACCGACGGTCGCGGGATAATGAAAAATCCGCCCGTTTCTTTCGACAGGCACAATTCATCGAGCCCGCGTCTCGAGAGACGCGGTCACGCTCGCTCGAGTTCGCTTCATTTTTTTTATCGGCTGGGGCGAGGCGAATTCGACGAGTATACTTAAAGCGCCATCCGTCGTCACGTTCTTCTTCTTTTTTCAGATCCACAATTCCACCGAACGGTCGGTCGTCCTCCAATCGGTGAACCTCATGAGCACAGGCCGCTACAGATGCGAAGTTTCGGCGGAGGCGCCGTCCTTTCAGACCGTTTCCGACCACTCGGATATGCTGGTAGTCGGTGAGAGCAGCAGATTCGTATTAATTAAGAGTTTTATCTTTCAAAGGAATCGCGCAATAACGGCAATCCAGCTCCGCAAACTTGGCGAAGGAGGTCGCGGCGGGGCGGGGCGAGGGGAGGATTGGAAGGAAGGATATTGTTATGTCGCTGATTTATTCCCAAGGCGCTATTCTTCTTCGCCGATTCTCATTATCCGAGCAAATGTTGTTGTTATCACAGCGACCGAAAGGAGAAAGTCCGCGCGCTGACTAATCGTAATTTTATTCACTTCTGAATTAAAATCGGTCCTTAAAAATGATTTATTTATATCCGCGCAAGAGTAGCTCCCGCTGGGAGCAGAAGAGGGAAGAGAGAGAGAGAGAGAGAGAGAGAAAATGGAGATGTAACTCGGAATAATTTAATTCCACGTGACGCGTGTATATATCACTGTGTTTAAAAAAGTTTCAAGAAATTCTCATTTAAATTGTTCGCGTCAACCGTATCGAAAAAGATTTTTTTTTTTTTCCGATCAATAGGATTGTTTCTGACACATGTGTCTAAAATTTTACGTCATTACGGTGTAAATCTGTTCGAGTTAAGCTGTCTTGTAACTTTCCGTTAAGTCTATCTTATTAAGTGCACGTGTGTGGGAACCGGTGTGTTCCGAAAACGTCGCGTTTTACCGACTAATTCGCACACGACGTCGATTCAACTCGATCTGCCGCGACTATTTATGAAAAATTTGCGAGATCCCTCACGAGTTAAAGAGTTGCGATCTTAAGGAGAGAAATTCGGCGAGGCGAGGATTAGAAATTTTAACGACTCCGACGATTTTATAAGCCACTTAACGCGGGAAATTGAAACGAATTGCAGTTCCGATAGCTCCGGAAGAGTTAATTACGTCGCGTTAGTTTAATCCACCTGCGAGAGAACATTATCTCCTCCTCAAATATCGGGCCCGTGACTGGTGACGAATCGCTGACGATTTACTCCTCTCTCCTTGCATTAATCACACGTCTATAATTTACTTTCGTCGACTTAAGCGCTTTCCGTTAATTCCGTCTTATTAAATGCCTTATTGAGCGCATGTGTGTGTTGGTGTATTGCAGAAATCTCACGTTTGCCGTCTCACCGACTAACTCACACACGACGTCGATGTCTGATCTACCGAGATAATTTATGAAAAATTTCTGAGATCACTCGCGAAAAGATTGTCCGCGCGAGTCTCTCGGTATTCTTATCACCTTATTAGACGTCCGTCGTCGCCATTCACACGAGCGTGGCCGGCACGAAAACGACCGGCGTTACGATCCTGAAACAACCGTCACTCGTCGCGACGATTGGATTCTCCCGGCGCACATTGTGCAAAATGTCGGAGAAGAGCCGGGGAGAGGGGGCAGGGGAGACAGCGTGTGGAGCTCCTGATAATTCCGGAATCTGGGATCTTCCACATTTGAACGAGACACTGCGCGATCTGTCGATTCAATCCCTCCCCCCCTCTCTCTCTCTCTCTCTCTCTGTCTTTTTCCCTTCTCTTTTCGCTCGTCTTCCAGGACGCGGATCTCCGGGGGTTTGTTCGTTCTCCTTTTATCGCGCGACGAGAGAGAGAGAGAGAGAGAGAGAGAGAGAGAGAGAGAGAGAGAGGAGGGGAGAAGAAAAAAGAGATCATCCCGAGCGCTTCGACGTCGCCAGCCAAACGACCAGATCGGCCACGCGCGCACGCGTGTCTATACATATCCGGCCGTCAATATAGTTAAGCGCGTTACATCGAGTGCGATGATTACAGCGAAGTGTTACTCCATTAAAATTTCCGCGCCAGCAAGCGTAAACAAGTTAAGCGGCGCCGCAACAAAATTACGGGTCACGGCGCGGCTAGGGTGTTGCGTTTGCGTTAAAATATTCGCGCGGGCGCGCGAGTTAAAAGCCCGTTCGCGAACTCGAATTAATCGAAGGAACGTGTCCCTTTCGCCGTGCTGGTGGCGGTGGCGGCGGCGGCGGCGGAGAGGAAGGGGGAGAAAGGAGGGAGAGGTGGTGGTCGCGGGTGAACGAACGGGCGGGCGAGAGCGGACGTTCGTTCGTTCGGGCGACGGTGACGGTTATTTATGAGCGTTTCGATGTATTTCCAGCCCTGCCGGAGGAGGGGCCCACTATCATGGCGCGATCCGGGAAACATCGTTATCAAGTCGGCGATGTCGTGCGGTTCAATTGCACTTCGACTAAGTCGAAGCCACCTGCCATACTCAGCTGGTTCATCAACGGCGAACAAGTGAGTGCTCCAGACACGCAGCGTCTATCTTTAGCTCTCCTCTCTCCCTTTCTCTCTCGCTCTTTTCGCTCTATCGTACGGATATCTCTCTCTGTCTCCCTCCCCCCCCTCTCTCTCTCTCTCTCTCTCTAGCTTCTCTCTCTGCGTGAAAGTGTAACCGTCTCAGACTGTGGGAAGCGTAAAACTTCGCGATAAGCCGCGATCTCGGAAAATCCGACTAGACTGGTCTACTGATTCGCGCTCGCTTACGCAAAGAACGACGAGAGTAACGAGAGAGAGGGGGGAAGGGAAATAACTAAGACGCACCCTCGTGGATAAATCGCATCGTGTAACTACCCGAGCAAAAAATTGTTAGTTAGGGCCATCCTTATGAAGCATAAGGCCCCAATAAGGCTGAAAATAGGATGCTCTAAAATGGAATGTCTCATTATTACCGTACCAGGCCCCGAGATGGATCTTTTAGGGATATGGTACATTAGATTTTACGAAATAAGGCTTTGATAAGGAAAACTGATGAGGGGAGGATAGAAGGATCTTTTTTTAAGGATGCTTTAGATATACAAAATCAAGTTTTGTTTTAGAAAATTAATAAGATCTGAAGCGTATAATAAAATTGTCATAGTTTAGTATTGTTTTAGTAGGTACGCTCTATCTGGTTCTTTTAAAGATTTGTTAATTAGACCACAATTAAAAACAAATTTTATTAGTTCTATTAGTTGCCATATTCATTAGTCTTTTCCAAGGATTTCTCTAGTATTGCCTTCGTTTTCAAATGCGGCAAACTTTAATAAAAATGATAGCAAGATTTTTGTGCAAAGAATGCTATATTTTATTGTAAAATATGTTATATTTTTAAAATAAAAAACTCTTGTATATACTAACAAGATTATAAAAAAAGATAAAGAAATTATAGTCTAAATTTCTGGGAAAAAAATGAATATTGAGAACTCATAAAACCCCTGTTAATATTTCCTTATAAAGATCTATAATTATAATTATGTTGTCTTATAAGGCCCGCGTAATATTGTCTTATAAGGATCCGTTAAACCATTTATTACACATCTTGTGGGGCCTTTGTCCTTCTATCCCTACTAGAGTCCGATTAATGTTAGGTAAAAATAATCAGCTCCTTATCAGAGCCCTATTAATTTTCTTACGCGGGTATATAAGCATCATCGCATTACACGCACATTGTCGCGTTTCCTCGTCATCCCTGCCGACTGAAAACTCAGAGTCGTCGCGAAGATCACAGACAAACCGGAGAATCTCTCGCGAGATTCCACTCGAGAGTTCGCGACCGCTCGCGGCGCGGATGGAAAATGTCGCTCTTTGTCGTCATTCCTCGCCGGATCGCGAACATGTAGCGCTAAGAAGGTATCGCGGTGAGACTCGCGGCTCGCAGTCACGCGTTGAAATTCCATCAGGGCGACGTCCGGGTCCCCGTGATTAAGCCCCCCCCTCGGGGGAGGGAGGGGGGAGCGTACGCCGCTCGATTCCCGATCGGATCGGGTCGGCGGGATCCGAAATGCCGTCGCAGATAGTCCGCTGACAAAGTTGAACAGTTCATGTAGCTTAATAAGGACGGCTTCCTTGTAATACATCATGTTTTACCGGCCTGCGTGACACGACGAGCGAGTTACGACGAGCTTTCCCCCACGTCGCGCGTGTAAGAGCGCGCAGTTTGGCGTTACCGGTACGACACGTGGTGGGATGGGTCTCGTAGCAGTTCTCGAGGCCTGTCAAAAGTTTCCCGTCGCGCGCGGCGCTCGCTTTCCGCGGCGATTCCGTTCGCTCGCGGAAAATAACGCGCGACGCGGCCGTTAACGCGCCGTCGACTCGCGATTACGCGCTAACAAAGCGCGAGAATTAATTTTCGCAAAATGCACTCGCGAGTGAAGGCGCGCGCGCGCGTCCGTTTTTTACACCCTCCGGTCTCCCCCCTTTCTTGCCATTTTTCACTCGCGAACAAATAATTGCCTCTCGGGTAATTAATCAACGGCCGTTGCGCGGCCGCGCTCACGCCGCGGCGGGATTGCCTGATTAGTGCTTGAGCGCTCGCACGCGCTCGCGTTACTTCGCCGCTTGTTAAAGCTGAATTACGCATTAATCGCGCGATCTCGGCACGGCGAAGCCAATAATCTTACGATTAAGGGATAATGTCTGCTTTCATTAAGCGGGCGCTCGCGCGGCGAGTGAACGCGACAGACTCGCGCGGTTGTCGCAAACGCGACTTTGCCTTTCCCCGGTTTCGCCTAGCAAACAGCAAGAAAGGCAACGTGTAAAACTCGCCCTCCCCCTCGGCAAACATATCGTCGGGTCCTGCGAACGCAATAATGCGACGCCCTCGCGTAATCGTCGCGATCGCGCGCGCATTAAGGACGCTCCTTAATTCTGATTGCGGACATTGTAACAAGACGTAATAAGGCAGATAGCAATCTTCCGCTGAACGCTATTAAAAGTTTATATAGTGCTCTCGGGAGAGGCGCGCGGGTTAAGAGTCAATTTTCCAAGAACGAGAAGTGCATTAGTAGACAGATAATGGTGTTTAATTCGCAACGACGTTATTAGATTTTATATCAGCCGGAGGAGCGAAAAGGAACAATACATCGGTCAGGATAGACAGAGAGAGAGAGAGAGAGAGAGAGAGAGAGAGAGAGAGAGAGAGAGAGAGAGAGAGAGAGAGAGAAGGAGGGAGCGACTCTCTCGACGATCAATTAATTATGACCGCGCGAATCTCCGGGGGAAGGGAAGGACAGCGTGCGTACTCTGTCCGATCCTTTTTTGAGATCTCGACGGACCTGGAGGCAAGGCAACGTCATTTTCCTTCACTTCCGGCGAAACGGCCTGTGTCGTGTTGAAAATTAATGAGCGTCCGCCGCCGCTTTCTCAGAGAATTAAATATAACCCGTGCGATAGCAGGATGGGTGGGTGCGGGGGGAGGAGGGAGAGGAACACGCGCGCGAATGGCCGCTGGCCACGAAGGATTAAACATTGACTCGATGAACGACTTGTAAATATTTCCGACCGCGCCGAGAAAAGCGGTCACGTCGCCGACGACGCGTCGTCGTTGTCGTTGTCGTCGTCGTCGTCGTTGTCGACGTCGACGTCGACGTCGTCTTCGCTCGTGAAAGTATACACTTCCGCTTCGCTTCGATTAGGTCGACATGCAGTTCTTGAAGGGGCCCCACATCACCGACGCGGACCGGGAGGGTCTGAAGACTACCACGCTCGGTCTGGAGTTCCGTCTGCGCTCGAAGCACTTCAAGAGGGGAGACTTGAAGATCAAATGCCTGGCGATGATAGCGACCGTATATTGGAAATCGAATGAGCTCAGCATAGAGGGTGAGAGGCCCCTGAAGATGCCGGTAATGGAGAGCAGGGAGACAAGGGCGCAAGGGCACACGCACGCCGAGCATATCCTAGGTAAAAAGGAAAAGGGGAAAGAAAGAGAGAGAGAGAGAGAGAGAGAGAGAGAGAGAAAGAGGAGAGAGAGAGAGAGAGAGAGAGAGAGAGAGAGAGAGAGAGAGAGAGAGAGAGAGAGAGAGAGAAGCTCGTCGCGAGGGTAGTTGACGCGGCGATGACAAGGGCGGAACGCCACTCCGCCGCGTGTAACGCTCATTTGTCCTGAATCGTCTCTTAATTCGGTTAAATTTGCTAAATTTCGTTGAAGACCACGGATTGGCTTTGAAAACGATTGATTCGATAAAAAGAAAGCAAGAGCAAAAGAAGGGTCTCTCTTCGTAAAGGAGAGAAATGCTACGCGTTATCGGTGCGAGTTGGTGCGGTTTTTAAAATAATTGCGGTTTTTATCGTTTTAAGTTTGGCGCCGATTTTTCTAGCTATCGTTATATTTTGTTACAGTCATGTGGTACATCATTGTAAACAATGAAATTGGCACCACTGATTTCAGCTCGTGTCTGTTGTTTTCATTCTTTAGTATTGTTGAATATAACTTCTTAAATTAGTCACAGAAAAAGAGCAAATTCGCGCGATTTTGTTGTATAAGTTTCAATTGGGACGTAAAGCAGCAAAAACTGCTCGAAATATCAAATTTGTTTTTGTCGCCTTTTAATAAATATCCCGGAGTTTCGGTGTTTAAAATATGTCCGTCGTCGTTCGACTGTCATCAATTTGTCGAGGTGACAGCTTGGTTTTTCTCAACGCGTAATTCTTGTCGGAAAATCTCCTTCGATGTTTCACGTTTCTTTCTCTCTCTCTCTCTCTCTCTCTCTCTCTCTCTCTCTCTCTCTCTCTCTCTCTCTCTCTCTCTCTCTCTCTCTTTCCCTCTTTCTCTCCCTCTCTCCATGTCCAGAAATACGAAAATAAGAGGGTTTAATCGTACGCGACGAAAGACGATAAACATGAAATTAAGAAGTGCAATTACTCAACTGGATCGAGTTCTATTTACCGCACCGCTCTCGAGAGATCGAACCGAGTGCCCCTTAAATTGTTTCGAGGTGATACAAGCACCGGCCCGTCAAGATGTTGACCGCGCTAAGTGACATTCTATTTACATTGATATCAGAAGGATCGGGACGAGGACTTGTCTAGAAGCACTATTACCCGTCTTGCGGCCACGACAGAGAGAGAGAGAGAGAGAGAGAGAGAGAGAGAGAGAGAGAGAGAGAGGGAGGGAGGGCGGGAGGGAGGGAGGAGAGGAAGAAGGAAGGTTAAAATCGCTTTCCACGAGGAAAAAAGTGACTTTCTTTTTCCACTCTTCTCTCCCTCCCTCTCTCTCTCTCTCTCTCTCTCTCTCTCTCTCTCTCTCTCTTTCTTTTCGCCACGCGCGTCGTTAATATTGATTGAAAGTCCACCGGAAGGTGTGTAGGTGGCTTTGCGGCCGCGCGCGGGAGGAGTTCAGCCGGCCGAAATAATGGGTCCTCGGCCCTTTCAATGTTAACTTTTGCAACTCGTGACGCGCGGATAGTTCAGCAACTCAACATCATTTTGCTGATACGCTGTTAGCTCCGCCATAGCGCGCGCGCGCGGAGGATGCAGCACAAACACGTAACTCGTTTCGCAACAAAACGCAAGTTCTTAGAAGCGCGCGCGCGGCTAAGGAAGCGGCAAGGAATTTGAAGCTTTTTGCCGGGCGCCGGACGCGCGATCGCAAGATTAAGAATCCAATTTCGCGCAACGAATTCCTGTCAATCCCTTTTAATTCGACCATTTCGTTATCTCCTCTTCTCTCCCCCCCTCTTCCACCTCTGCTTTCCTTTCGTTTTTTTCTCGTTCTTTCCCTTTCGGGCGCGGTGCTTATAAGCACAAAATCGCCTCGGTTAAACTCGCTTAAGTAAGCTTCAATTTGAGCGTCAAGTTTAAAACTCCAAATTCTCCCTGAATATTTATGAAAGGTCTCTCTCTCTCTTCTTCCTCATTTTTTTCTCCTCTTTTGCTGGCCCGAAGCATGCGCCGTACTTTCGCTCTCACTCTCGTTCATCTTTATTTCTCTTTCAGCGAGCGGAAGTATAGCGTTAGGACCGTGCGCCGTGCTGATCGTCGCAGGACTACTGATGTCGCGGTAAGGACCGAGGGTGCACTCCCCCGCCGCCCTCCGCCCTCTGTGCTCATCCTCCAAGGCCTGGAAGCCACCCTCGTGTGACATTATTACATAATAAATTACCCACGTTGTTTATATTTTTTATAATTGCAATTAGTGGAGTTAGAGACCACACACACACATACATACACACGCACACATACCCGCGCGTAATCGTATAGGCAGACAACACACATACATCGGTATTTTATCATGCAGGCGCCTTCGGTCGAACGCACACAGAGATGCGTCCTGTTCGTCCCGGCGGGCAGAAGTCGCCGACGCATTTGGTCCTTTCTCTTTTTTTATCCCGCTCCCCTTCCATTCCTCGGAAAATCACGCGCGTTAATGGGATCTCGCGATCAGTCGCGAGAGCCGAAGACGTGCGACCGTCCCTTCCGCCCTTTCTTCCTCTCCCCAATTCCCTCCCTCGTTCCCTTCGTTTTTCACAGCGCCCACGGCGATTCACGCGCAAGTGTGTAACTCGATTTCTTCGGTCACACGCGACATACCGACATCGACACACCCACACATGTACACACACACATACGCGCGCGCGCACTTCGTCTGTATATTCGCTTTGTGGTTTAGCGTGCGTATCCGCCGCGCGAGCGAGCGCGAAGAACGTGGCGAGCGGCCAAAGTTTTATCGAATTTTTATCAAATCGCGCGCGCGTTACGCGTCCGAATCAACGGCCGGCCGGGGGGAGCGGCGAGGCGTGATAGAGCGTTTGATTCAGAGTCAATTCGCGACATCAAAATATATCCCGACCGCCCACGAGAGAGGAGCCCCCTCGAGTCTGAGCAGAGCTGACGGATCGATTTTACATACATACCACCGCAGCCGGAGGCCAACAGCCCTCTCCGTCCTCCCGCCGCCGCCGTCGATTCGCCGCAAAAAATATTCGCTCCCTCCCTCTCGACGGGATTAACAATTATCGGCGTGCCTACGCTCGACACTTCGTGCGGCGGATATTTAGTTGAGAAGACCGCGAGGGCGACGCGCGCGCGACGGCGAAACGTGCTCCGATCGATGGGATAAACGAGCGCGGATCGAGCACGAGGTAAGGAAAAGCTGAGCGACGCAGCAGCTGCTGCGAAGAAGTCGCGTCGCGTCCGTTCGCCGCACATCCGTAGCCCTTAACGATCTAGTCGCTATTAATCGTGCGTAACGAGATAATGTCCCTAGAATAATTGTGTAACGACGTGTGTGACTGTAGCGTGCGTTTACCAAAGATTTTTGAACTTTTCACGCCAAGCATTCCTAACTGTTAATCACACGGTGGCACACGGTGTGTTGTAGGGAGACGTTCGTTTCGATAAAGAAAAAAAAAAGAAAGAAAATAAAGGAGGAAAAGGATAAAAAAAGAAAGAAAAGGGAGAAAAGGACAAAAAACACACACACACTCACGACTGCCGCATTCTTCATCTATGGTAGCTCTAAGGGCACTCCTGTACATATGTATATAATATACATACATATACATACATATATATATATATATAAACAAAAAACATGAAATCGGACGATATACATACTTGTCTATGATTTGAGGACGTCCGGAGGACGCGACGCGCGAGCGTCGTGATTCCGGGATCTGCGGAAACTATTTTCTTTAGCAAATCGCGTAAAAATCTCTCCCCCGCCCCCTCTCTCTCTCTCTCTCTCTCTCGAAATGTGTGTTGTACCGTCGGTCAAAATAAAATCATATTGAAAGACACTCCGCGAGTCTCGTGTACTTCAATAATCTGGAGACGTTCGGAACGGAGAGGGCCGCCGCTTGTTTCATACCTTCCAACCCCCAGCCCTCTCCCCTCTCTCTGCCTCATTCCGGACGTCTCTGCTTGCGCATAAGACCCTCCTCCGATCCTGCCGCTGATGAAATTTCTGATTGAGACTGGAGAAAGCGGGATTTATTTAAGGACCTAAAGATATGTAACAATATTTTTTCTCGCAAGAGAATCCCCGCTAGCGCGCCCTCTAAATCTTGTTGTCGGAGTGAGACCACGCTCGACGTGAGCGGCTGGAGATTCACTCGAGAGGGTAATGAAAACACCTCCTCCCTCCTTCCCTGTCTTTGCCGGAATCGCGCAAGAGTGAATGCTTCGCTCGGATTCAGAATGGATTCTGCCTGCGTAACGTTCGAAATCGACTGGAATCCATCCAATCGGCGGCGGCGACGGAGAGTATGTGAAATTCGCTCTTCCGGGTTGCCGGGGAAAATACTCTCGTGACTTGACACGGAGAGGTCGGCGCACGCGTGCGAGTGAAAAATCATGGAAACTCGAGCGACCCGGCTGCCACTGTACTTGCCGCCGTGTGCGACTGACATTTCACCCCAAGGGATACCGCCGCGCGAGAGGACACACAAAGCCGCAACCCGAGAAGGACCCTACGCGAGAGGCAGGCAAAAGAGCTGCTCAAAGGACGCTCGCGTTGGACAGGCAACGCTCGGTGAAGAAGTGGTGTTTCTTCACGTGAGCGCCGGTCAGCATCTTCGACGGTGAGCGGGTGAAGAAGTGGAGGATCTTCTGCTCGCTCGGCGACCCCGTCTCCTCGGACTCCTCCCACTCGACGGCGAGCGCATTCGACTGCAGGATCTGCTCGGCAGTGGACCAGCTGAAGCGGACCAGCTGCGGGAAGCCGAACACCCCGTCCACGTTCGCTGACAGCCACTTCTTCGTCACGGGGTCGGTAGGGTAGCCGCTGCCGTATTCGCTCGGGAAGGCGACGTCAACCTCGCGGAAGCGCCACGCGCGAATCGCGTGGTCTCGCGACACCTTGGCGCATATGCTGGCCGCGCTGACGATCGGGTAAGTGGAGTCGGCCTTCTTGGCGACAACGACCTTCACGCCGGGGAATACGGCTTTCAGCCGCGCCTGATAGGTCTCCGGCTTGCCGACGGTGTCCACGTAGACCTCGGCGACGTTCACACCAGCCTCGATCGCCGCCTTGATGAGCTCGGTGGCCGATACCATGGAGGTCTCGTTGAGCGAGACCTTGGTGCGCCGGTACATGCTGTTGGCGATCACGTTCGGCGAGATCGCCTCGACCGCCCAGCCGATGCAGTCCTTGTGCTCGCATATACCATCGAATATCTCGTCCCGCTTCTTCTCCGTCAGGCTCTTGGAGTCGGCGCAGCCAAGCTCGACCAGCAACTGTTTGCGCGACAACGGCGCGTATGAGATCCCGTAGACCATCGGGCCCAACACCGGCCCCCGGCCCGCCTCGTCCACCCCCAGCTGACACGGTTCGCTCTTGCACATCTGCGGCACCTGCGATCAAACAGCTCTCTCTCTCTCTCTCTGCGACTACTGTGTTCACATCTTCGTCGGAAGTATATATTATCTAGAGAGTAAGTCCGGCGTAGCGAGTGAGGAATGTAAAGCGGGTAAAATGCGTAGCGAGACGGAATCTGGAGAAGCTGTCCGACGGGCGAAATGTATAAAGACAGGAAGTAAATCTCCGGTACATAACGAGTGAAACATAAAGCAAGCGAAACGTGAAGCGACGACGAGCGAGATCAACGAACAAGGACGGACTCGAGGGAGGGGGGGGGGATATCGATTTGTCAAGAGTGACGAGGTGGCCAATGTGTAAAACAGGTAGTAAAACAAGCAGCATGCTTACACAAGCAAAATCTCTGAGAATAGTGCGTAGATTATCATCGTCTTCCGAAGTGACGAGACACGCGCAACGGTGGTGGTCGTCATAATCGGAAGAAAGGCGCGAAGTACCAAATCGCCTTGGTTTCTTTAGCGCACTTTGACGCTGCCGCTGCCACATAAATTATGTTCTTAGAGATACAAGTACTCACCTCCGAGAAATGAACCTTGTTGACACTGTGATCGCACGATGCGAAAAGCGAGGTTAAGTTCTCTTTGCAGGTGATGCAGGTGTCGATCACCTCCTTGCACGGGTCCCTCTCCTTCGCCTGATCGACATCCTCCGTCGCGTCTTCCTCTTTTTCGTCCATCCCTGTTGTCTCGCACTCGCGCAAATACCGTAGCCGAACGGACAAACCGACTTAACCTCAAACCTCAAACCGAACGCCGTCTCGCTCAGATATGCCGCCAATTTGAATACGCGCGCGATACTATCGACGTATCGACGTACATCGATAGGTATCGACGTCAAGCCTGATTCACAAGTACGCGAGTGGTGCATCTACGTTGCACTGTAGATATTTACTTGCGTGGTGCGAGACCACGTAGAGATGTACCCCTTGTAATAAAATAAAGCGGTTTTTTTCTTTAATATTAATGCTAAGTCCCTCCGAAATGGTAACTCCTGTATTCGATGAAAATAGGCCTGTTCGTTTTGTCTGCACTGCTGAACTGGTGCAACAAGTTGAAGTGAGAGAACCTACGTTTGTCTCACTTTAACTTAATGCACCAGTTCAGCAGTGCAGGCAAAAACGAACAGGCATATTAAGAAGGAAGAAGGAAGGTTATGAAAAAGTGTAAAAGATACGTTCAACAGAAGAAGCGCTTAATGATTCTAATTTATGATTGAAGTATTCTTTTAGATCTTTGACGGATCCAGAACAAACCAATCAGAAACGACAATCTGGGCAGCTTCTTCCGCTGAACGCAGCTATTGGCTGTTGGAACTTGGACATTAGCCATTATTACGAAAAATGAAAGAGGCAAAAAGTGCAGCCCTGGGTAAATTTTCGTATCAACCAAGGGAAGGGACCCGAAGGGGCCCGGAAGTAATTGAAGAGTAATGATAATACCGATTGCTTTAGCTACGCTCATGATAATACAGCTAGCAACTATTGCCGCTGCGAGGTGAGGGGAGAGACAGAACGCCGACGACGACGACGACGACGATGACGTCCGTAGTCCCATTTTTTCCCCAGATATTAGCAGCATTCTACGTCAGATGTCAGTGTATGTTAGGTTAGATTAGATCTACATAGTCCGATATGTTACATCAAAACAAGTTACATATATGTGCCTCAACGCACGTATGTACGTACATATAGCATTTTTATCATTAATATTTCATAGTGAATTCGACTCTATTAACAGCAATAAATAGAACGTTATAGCAACACATTTCTGAAGTTAAACATCAAAGCAAAAATGCGCGCGATAACGGAATTGCTTCTGAAACGTACAATATCGCAGTTACCGTCGAGAGTTTGCAGCTGCGTCAGGAAGTACTCAACGGAGCGCAATGATTTCGTAAAAGTGGTCGAGGTTGGACCACGTGACGGTTTGCAGAACGAGAAAAACATACTGCCCACTGAGGTGAAGATTGACTTCATCAACAGGTTGTCGACCACTGGACTGAGGAGCATCGAAGTAACGAGCTTCGTATCACCCAAATGGATTCCTCAGATGGCGGATAATACGCAGGTGTATCAGCAGATTGAGAAGAAGAGCGGCGTGTATTATCCAGTTTTGGTGCCAAACTTGAGGGGTCTGGAAAACGCTATCAAAGTTAACGCGAAAGAGATCGCTGTGTTCACTGCCGCGTCGGAGGCCTTCTCCAAAGCAAACACCAACTGCACCATTAAAGAAAACATACAGAATGCCACGGTTGTCATAGAGGAAGCAAAGAAGCATGACATAAGGATTAGAGGCTATGTATCTTGCATCGCTGGTTGTCCCTATGAAGGCAACACTAAGCCACAAATCACAGCTTACTTAGCTTCCACATTATTAGATCTTGGGTGTTATGAAGTCTCCTTGGGTGATACTATAGGTACAGGAACACCTGGTAAAATTGAACATGTTTTAAATGAGTTACTTCACATATCATCATATGACATGAGTCATTATGCTCTACACTGCCATGATACATACGGACAGGCTCTAGCAAATATTTACATGGGTCTTGAGAAAGGTATAAGAGTCTTTGATTCTTCGGTAGCTGGATTAGGTGGATGTCCATATGCTGCTGGTGCCTCAGGTAACGTTGCTACAGAAGATTTGCTGTATCTCTTGAATGGGCAAGGTTTAGAGACTGGTGTAGATTTAAATGAAATAGTAAAGATTGGTGATTATATCAGTAAATATCTTGGTAGAGTAAACCAGTCTAAAGCTGGAGTAGCTATAGTCACCAAACAGCAGCATCTAAAATGCTAGTTGTACAATATTTAAGTCTGACATATCAAAGATACAATTTTATGAACTTAATATTTTAAATAACCATCAGTGTAAACTGTAAACTGATACTACTAGTTTTGTTGGTTATATATTATATGTTATATATTATAGGTTATATATTATAGGTTATATATTAGATACAAATAATTATGTGTATACATTATTACATATGTATATAAAATAAGATATAGTGTACATGATATGATACATATATAAATTTGTGGAATAATTTATAGAAAATATTTTTGATAATGGATTGTAGATATATATATATTTTGAAGATCAATGCTATTTAAAAATAAAAAAAACATTAATCTACTGTTAAATAACTATTTGATAAACTTTTCTTTATTCTCCAGTTCTCCAGTTTAATCAAATTAAGGAAAGAGGGAATCGTCGAATAAATAATTTTTTAAAAATCCAAAATTAGAGTAGATTTGTCACTAACTATTTTTATTGACAAGTTTCTCTTAGTTACACTAGAAGTGAGGGGAACTATACACACCAGGCTGCATAAATATTTTGAGGCTCTACAAGAAAGACATAAATACCTCTCATGAAGATTCATGAAATAAGCAAAGTTATTTCCTGTTTTTGATCAAAATATAGGGAGAATTGCCATGTAATTATATTTGTAATCAGAAGAATCGACTGCAAAAATGTAGAAGGCACTTTTTTTTAAGTAAATTCTTAAAATAAAAATTACTTAACTTATTGGAAAGAGCATTGTGCACTTGAAATATGGAACAACTTTCAGTACATTATTATTCAATATATTGGATTGGCAAATAAGTTCGGTCTTTGCTTAGATGCAAATTCGTTCCGATTCACTCTTTTTTCCCCACAAAATTGTGAAAATATTCGTGTACAAGGGGTTCATTTTACTCTCCTGTAAAAATGTCGTCTGATCTTAGATCAATAGAGAAATAGATTTCTCTATTGATTAGAAATTCGTTTGTAAAAGCTACGAATTCTTTTACGTGACGGCATAGTTTCCCTTTGTGTCTCCGCTTGATTGGATTTCAAAGTGGTGAAAATAATTCTGAGGGTGAGCGGCCGACCGGTGAAAGCGAAGGGGACAGGTATGCAGATGGGAAGGCAATCGTAAAAATCCTTTTTATAATACGTTTCTCTTGGTGATATTATTCCGCGAGTATACAATTTAAGGTGATTTAATATTAACTATTTAGGTAGAAAAAATATATACCAATAAATAAAACAATATATACAAAAAGTAACGAAGATCCATGATTTTCATAAAATCCACGAAACTCACTTATATTTTGAATAGCAGTATAGACCAACTTTTCCTCTTTATTCATCGATTTCCATATCCTTCATTTTTACATCAAGATCGCCGTCTCGCTTTATCCGTCTGTCTGTCGCCAAAGATTGCGACGCGATGCGACCCGCAAATTTGTCCCACACTATTAATCAAAATAAAGCACAGGATCAAGCATTGATATGTTCAAGTTGCTCAAGTATTGAAAATGATTATATACATACCCTCTGGTATCGTCGAAAAGTCCAATATTTCAGTCGATGTGCCTGACGGTTTTTTCGTCCTACAAATACTAAATATCAATCCGTTATCCGGATTTGCCTCAGTGCAAACGGTATAGCTCGGGACTTCCTTCTGCCACACAAGTGTAGGATCGTGGTTGATGATATCCCACACCTTCATTAAACCGTCGTCCGAGGAAGTTACCAACAGGCCGGGACACGACGAGCTGAGAGCAAGACCTGCAAAGAACAAGATTTACTAGGAAGGCTGGCACACTACAAGTATCTTTTCCAGAGTATGTGAGAGCGACATATTTACCCGAGACATCTTCATTGTGGGCCTTGGTTATCCAAACTGCCTTGTTTACTCTTACGTCAAAGTACGTAATGTAACCCTGGGCTAAACTGGCCTGTAAAAAAAAAAAATAGTTAAAAGAAACACATCTAAGAATAGAGAAAGAGTGCTGATGTTAAAAATAAAATGTAGGACGTACAATACAGTAATTTGTATCATACTGATTCCACAGCACTTTTTCCACTGCTGTCGGTACATTCCACTTTTCCACGACTTTGTATTCTTTGCAGTCTAATAATCGCACGATTCTTAAAAAGAAAGGAGAAATTATATAGCAACACGCATGATGTGAATACAACAAGCGGACACAATAACAATTAAATTTACTTGTCCAAGCATCCTGTTAACAGTCTGTTAGCTTCTTGTGGATGCCATTTCAATGAAGACACCTCTTTTCTAAATGGATCAATTGTGGTCACAGGTGTATAATTTTCTAAATCCCACAATAATATTGTTTTATCGGCTGATCCACTAGCAAGAATGTGTCTGTAACAAAATGCCGCTGCTGTGATTTTGTTACGAGATGGAATACGTTATTCTATGCATTTATCCGAAATAGGAAACAAACGTGTAATTCTGATTCCACGCCAAATCTAAAACTCCATCTTTGTGTCCAACATGCTTCTGCCCCTTTTTCTTATTTGGTTCACAACCAAGTTTAAAGGCTGGCTCCACACTGTTCAGCAAGTCCAAGTCCCATACTTCAATTATAGGAGTCATGCTACCAATTGCACACAAGTTACCTGCAGCACATTCGTATGTACTAATTATTTAAATATACATACATAGTAATCACACATACAGTAATTATTTATAATGTGTAGTAAGTATTTTTCATCCACTCTTGATAAAACTATTATATTACTGTCATTCACCTGGCTTTTGATCCTCAGGATCAAAATTCAGCCATTCCAAACAGAGTGGATAGGAAGATATTGGTAAATCATGGTGGCAATAAAATGATCCTTCTGCTTCATTATATACTAGAATTATAAATTCATATGATTATGTAACATTTAAAATTTTACAACTGCAAACAATTTTGGCAACGATGATAGTGTTCAAATAATTGATACAAACCATGTACTTCTAAGGTAGCTACATCTTTACTGTTTTGTGCAATTAAAAACAGATTATCATCACTCTTGATGATATCGTCTTCTTTATCTGAATCATCATCATCATCATTTGTAACAAGAGGATCCTTGCCATCTATATCAAAGCTTGCTATGTTAGCAATATGACAATGCATGCTATTTACTGTAAAAAAACAGAATTGGTCACCTAAATGAACATCATCTTTACAAACATCTGCAAATTTTCAAAAACTTTTCTTACCTTCGTTGTCATAATTGTTAAAGTTGTACTCATCACCGGCAGCTAAAGAATATTCTTGTGCAGTATTAAGTTGCTCTTTGGATGAGTTCGTCTCTTTATCCGAGTCATCATCTGTGTCTGTATCGCTATAAAACAAGAAACAAATTAATTATTGTTTAAATATTGAATACACACAAGTAGACAACTTGTACAAAATGTCATATTTTTTGAACACATACGTCTGGGCTTTCTTTATAATTTTCGTGAAATCGGCAGGTTTTAATAAAACCTAAAAGTTGCAGGTAAAGCACATGAATAAAATTGCACATAGGTATTTTTATATAATACAAGAGTTTAAATTTCCTAACCTCCTGGGGATTGGCTGTGGCGACGCCTCTCTTCACCCACAAAGTAGAACACACAAAATCGGATGGGCATTGAGTGTCCTCCATCGCAAACGCGAAAATTTATATAAGCGGTCAAAATGTTGCTCGAAATCAAGAAAAAAATTTGTCCAACTTGTTAAACTTACTCGTCCACGTGAGATCGCGTGAGACGCGCATGGAAATAGTTGGTCTGTTCTTTATAGCTGCACTGCTGAACTAGTGCAATAAGTTAGAATGAGAAAAAATATGGTTGTCTCATTTTAACTTATTGCACTAGTTCAGCAGTGCGCAGCTATAAAGAACAGACCCAGTATTTATGAAGTATACGGCATGTGGGACATTGATTGGTTACTATGATATTCCCTTAACAATTTTCGCCGCTCACGACAACCGTGGCCGTGTGCACCAGCCTTAAGGCAACCGCAACCTGTAGTGGGATACGGCCTTTAGGATTGCGTGTCTTCTTCCGCCATCTTTGCTGGACGAAGTCGTTAGGACGCTTCGCGTGCATAGAAAAACGGTTGATACATGTGTTCGCAGACGAACGGGAATTGTGATCGTGATGTGCCAGTGTTGAATGTGAATTAATAGAATTAAAGAGAGAGAGAGAGAGAGAAAGAGAAAGAGAGAGAGAGAGAGAGAGAGAGAGAGAGAGAGAGAGAGAGAGAGAGAGAGAGAGAGAGAGAGAAAGAGAGCAGTGAATCAGAATTGTGGAGCGCGATTACGGAGCGTCGTACGGGCGACTGAGGAGCAAACGAGCTGCGCGAAGTTGCGGCTACGCTGATCATCACAGCACGGTAAGGCGTCTATGGTATCAATGGGTGTGCGTTCACGACACTCAACTCGGTTGTGCAACTGTTGAGTAATTCGTCAACGTTATTGGTCTGAATGTAAAGATCTAACGTTAAGGACCAATAGTCACTAATCGCTCACTGAGCGGTTTTCTCCGCTGAACGCACCCAATTCCTTTCACCTGGGAAATTCTCCGCTTCGCGGAGAGAAGCGGAGGAGCGAGGACAGTTGTCTCGCACAAGCGCATCTTAACATGCCGTGTCGCGCTACAAATGTTTACACCGCGTGTGTAAAGTGACGCTTTCCGCTGCAGTAGAGCGATTCTGTAACAGTTTAACAAATAACGATGTGCATCGTTAAATATTCGTTAATGAATTTCGTAGCTTGTTCTAACGACTGGTTAGGAGGAAAATGGTATTTTGTAAATCGTTTTTTTCCCCGTTTACCCAACGGTTGTCTTCATTTCTCTCTCTCTCTCTCTCTCTCTCTCTCTTTCTCACTCTCTCTTTCTCTCGTGCGCATCATGCTAAACGCACACACGTCAATCGTCTCTCCTTGTCACTTCCTTAAGCCCTTTACACACATTTTAGTCACACATACACACAAATTTTAGTCGTATCCGTAAAGTTGTGAAGAAACTCACCAACCACGGTCGAGTATTCCTTTAGCACAAGGAGAACAATCGACTGTGATTGGTAAGTTTTCTCACAACTTCACGGGTACGACTTCATTCATTTACGTGCAAGGACCTTATTCTGTTTCTTTGTTCTATCTATCGATCTATCTCTCTCGTTCTCTTCCACCTATCCCTAGGTAGCATCGTTGATCGCCGGAGAATGGTGGATCGCATTCTTGGACACTGTTGCGCCACATAGCGATTGATATGCGAAATTTCTCGCATATCGCGAAAATCGATCCTACCGCAGCTTCTCATCTCACGGCTGCCCCACCCCCACCCCCTCTGAGTGCAACGGCACGGCAGCCTGTGGAATACTTAATATTCGATCGCGACGCGAGTTCAGAAGCCCTTCGAAAAAGGACAAAAGGACTCCGGTCTCGCGGTCTGCACAAAGGGAGAATCGCCTTTCCTCGCCCTTGCGCGCTTGCGCCTGATTTCTTTGTGCATTGGCATGCGGCAGGTAGCTCCTTTTGTGATCTGACATAGCCGGAGGGAACGTCGAGACTGATGAGGCGGAGTGTAGAGTAGAGAAGCTCACGGATTCACGAATTTTATTTATCGCAGGTGACAGGATAAACTCGCTCACCGGAAACATGAATTACCCGATGTCGTCGAATCAGTCTAGACCGAGTGAGTCATGTTGGTGTAATTTGATTTTTGTCGCTTGGATGAAATTGCGCACGGGAGATTAGATTATTGTGTGTCTGTGCGGATTTCAGTGTCCCATGGAAACTACCAGGGCCCGGGAGACTTGCCCATGGGCTCTGCTAAGGAACAGACGCTGATGTGGCAGCAGAATTCTTATCTAAACGATTCAGGCATTCACTCTGGTGCCGTCACTCAGGCGCCATCCTTGTCTGGTAAGGAGGATGAAGAGATGGAGGGGGATCAGTTGATGTTCGACCTGGATCAAGGATTCGCACAGGGTTTCACTCAGGACCAAGTCGACGGTGAGACTGGCCAGAGGCCATCTTTGTAAATTGGAATGTAGGACTCTCGGGAGATTAGGTGTTGCGTATTACGAATGGCAACTGACATCTTACAGAGATGAACCAACAATTGAGTCACACACGGTCTCAGCGTGTGCGCGCTGCCATGTTTCCCGAAACACTGGAGGAAGGTATAGAGATACCCTCGACGCAATTTGATCCAGTACAGTCCACTGCTGTACAACGGCTGGCCGAGCCGAGTCAGATGCTGAAGCATGCTGTTGTCAATCTGATCAATTATCAGGACGATGCCGATTTGGCAACGCGCGCTATTCCGGAATTAATCAAGCTCTTGAACGATGAGGATCAGGTGGTCGTTTCTCAGGCAGCCATGATGGTACATCAGTTGTCGAAGAAAGAAGCCTCCCGCCACGCCATCATGAACAACTCGCAGATGGTGGCTGCGTTAGTACGCGCCATTTCAAACAGCGACGACCTGGAGTCGACCAAGGCCGCCGTCGGTACTTTGCACAATTTGTCTCATCACAGGCAAGGTCTACTGGCCATTTTCAAGAGCGCCGGCATACCGGCTCTGGTGAAATTGTTGAGCTCGCCGATGGAATCGGTACTTTTCTACGCGATAACGACCCTCCATAACTTGTTGCTGCATCAGGACGGCTCCAAGATGGCTGTGCGCCTTGCCGGAGGCCTGCAGAAGATGGTCGTTCTGCTGCAACGAAACAACGTCAAGTTCTTGGCTATCGTTACCGATTGTCTGCAAATTTTGGCATACGGCAATCAAGAGAGCAAGCTGATCATCCTTGCCTCGCAGGGCCCGATAGAGCTTGTGCGCATCATGCGCTCCTATGATTATGAAAAATTGTTGTGGACCACTTCGAGAGTGTTGAAGGGTAATTATCCCGATCCATAATCGTTTTCTGCAACTTACTCCGCCACATTCTCATTCTCTTTCATCACCAACGAACATTCACCTCGTCTTCACTTCTCATTGTCTCATCAAAGATGAATGTTTTCTTTACAGTATTGTCCGTATGCCCCAGCAACAAACCCGCAATCGTAGAAGCGGGTGGCATGCAAGCGCTCGCCATGCATCTCGGAAATCCGAGTCAGAGGCTGGTGCAAAACTGTTTGTGGACGCTGCGTAATCTATCAGACGCTGGCACAAAAATCGACGGGCTCGAGGTCTTGTTGCAGAGTCTCGTGCAGGTGCTTGGGTCAACGGACGTGAATGTCGTCACATGTGCTACTGGCATCTTGTCAAATCTCACTTGCAACAATCAACGTAACAAAGTACGCCAAAATAAAGACACTTTCCCGACGACTCCTTCCTTATGATTTAATATTTGGCAGAGGTAGAAAGTCTTGCATCTTTCTTTTTTCTCTCTCTTTCTCTTACTTAGGTGACTGTCTGTCAGGTCGGTGGTGTCGATGCTCTCGTACGTACGATCATCAATGCCGGCGATCGCGAGGAGATCACTGAGCCAGCGGTGTGCGCCTTGCGCCACTTGACCTCGCGTCACGGAGAAGCGGAAATGGCACAAAATTCCGTTCGATTAAATTACGGTATCCAGGTCATCGTCAAATTACTCCATCCTCCATCGCGTTGGCCGCTGGTGAAGGCGGTTATCGGATTAATCCGCAATTTGGCTCTCTGTCCCGCGAATCACATCCCGTTACGCGAACACGGTGCGATACATCATCTTGTGAGACTTCTAATGCGCGCATTCCAGGATACACAGCGAGTGAGTGTGCCTGGGAACAATCTTATCTGTTATTGCGTCAAATTACATTCGTGTTACAAAGTGATGCCACTTGTGGTTTGCAGCAACGATCATCCGTGGCGAGTACCGGCAGCCAACAGACTTTGGGCGCGTACGCTGACGGTGTGCGTATGGAGGAGATTGTAGAAGGTTCAGTAGGTGCGCTGCACATCCTTGCAAGAGAGTCACACAACAGGATGATAATTCGATCGCAGAACGTGATTCCGATCTTCGTTCAAGTATGTCCAGCCGTCTTCACGGAAGCATGAAATTTCTTCGATTATATAGTTTTGGAAGCTTTCTTTTTTTTTCCGTCTAATATAATAACGAAGTAAAAATGCTCATTCGTTACATAACATGTAATACACAAATAGAAGGAGCTATTTTTTTTTTGTAATAATATTACGTTTTTCCTACAGTTACTCTTCAATGAGATCGAAAACATTCAACGCGTGGCTGCTGGCGTACTCTGCGAGCTGGCGGCTGACAAGGAAGGCGCCGAGATGATCGAACAGGAAGGCGCTACCGCCCCGTTGACAGAGTTGCTCCACTCCAGGAACGAGGGTGTTGCAACCTACGCAGCGGCAGTGTTATTCCGCATGAGTGAGGACAAGCCACAGGAATACAAAAAACGGCTTTCCATGGAATTGACGAATTCCTTATTCCGCGAAGACCCAAATTTGTGGAACAATGCTGACTTTAGCATGCCTCCGGATCTTCAGGTATCGTAGCGAAGGGATACACCACTAGTGGCACGTAAAAAATCTCGTGGCGAAATTGATTTACTTGCAAACACTATGTAACATAACGATTGTTGGTATCACACGCTAAAAGTAGTAGTCTTCGTCCCTTATCGTTGGTTCCTTTCGAGTACTTGCCAGGAGTCAGGTTTGTAACGCGACGTCAGTGGTGATACATTTTTTACGTGGTAGCATAGAAAATGTTAGATATTCTACTAGGTGGTTACATTGTGTTGAGTAAATTGTGCCACGTTAAGATAATCCTTTTTTATTAGTCGTAGAAGCACATCTCATTTCTCTAGTTGTAACTACACTACTATTTATTATATATAAGGTTTTCCTCGTGTAATATTCATTCCGAGCACAGCTGTTTATAAGCTACGTATATTATCCATTATTCCATTTTGCACTACCAAGGCATCTGCGATATTTTGGTTTGTATTTCACGGCGCTCAGTTTTTTTTTCTTTTTTTTTTTTTTAGTGTCGATCTTTTTTCTTTTTCCATGTTTTACGGACTTTTGTCATTACTTATACTTATGAGAGTAACGTGTTGGATCTCACAGTTTTTCAACCAATGTTTTCAACGTTTTAACTATTTTCATATATTCGCTTCTCGTGCAAATGCATCTTGGTTATACATACATCCTTAACACTCATAAGCGCACTTGAAACTAAATTTTCGACTCATGCTTAAGCTTTGTAACATACGGTTTATTGTGTATACAATTTTTTTCTCTTTATATTTCTATATCTGTACGCGCGTATGTAGGCATAAATATGTTGAGCGAAATTTGATGAAAGATCGACGAAGACTACAGGATCGTGCCTAATGGAGCAATGGATCACAAGATACATTTAATCTGATTGGTAGTTTGCAAAGTTATATAATGTGCATGAGAATGCGTTTTTTATCTTAGATATTTGTTTCAAAATTTTTCCCCTTCAATCTCTTTTTTTTTTTTTGTTACCGTCATTATGACTGTTATTCACGCAAGCTCCTTTATCGTTGTCCTTTATGTCCATTATTATATACGAGACTTACTAAACAGACACAGCGCGCGTATCTCAGGCGGTATTTTCGTGTGTCATGACACGCCTCTCTTAGATAATATGCTTTGTGTTGACCTGAGCTACCTAATCTTCAGGACATGCTTGGGCCTGATCAAGGCTATGATGGTATGTATGGGCAAGGACCTCCTAGCGTACACAGCAGCCACGGCGGTCGGGGTTATCAGTCACAAGGTAAAGTTTACAAATGTTGTTCATCTTGTTCATCGAATGCCGACGGAGTTACAAATGATCATTGAAGCAAACGCCATTCCATATAAAATAATGACGTAATGACGATGATTGCGTATGGCGTATAATTCATTGCAACAGCACAATCGTACGTTGATAGAACGCTACTTTACGAACCAATTCTGTTGTTCCGCATTTCTATGAATACGAGGAAGCTCAACGACAACTCGCCGCATTATCTGTAATATGAAGCAATACATTTAATTGTGTATGTTATTTCAACAGCAACTTAACCCATGGACTTAGATTAAAATACAGCCGTATCTCGCAGTAACGTAGGTGATATTCGGTCTTTAACCACTTGTCGTATTTATGATCGCATGGTCAATATTATGGTCAATATTATACGTTTACTCTCAATCGCTTCCTTTTTCATTTTTCTTTCTTTCTTTTCTTTTCTTTACAATCACACACTCGTCGTTTGGTGCATGTAACGTAATTGCGCCACATCGCCTACACGTACTTACTTGCGTATGTCCTCTTTCAGCATGTATATTCCATCCTGTCATACTTTTTGCCACTTTGGTCAATATGCTGTTGCAATAGTGTCCTAATTTTTTTATAACTTGATGATTTTGAAAATTCTACAACTTTTGAACTTTGAAACATTTTAAGTACGAAACATTATTCTCTAAAATGCTTTATGATTGAGATATCTGGCCGTTCCAGAACTTTTGAGACGCTGTATAATTTTAGAAAAACATAAATATAAGAGGGTCTCACCTTTCGATCATACTTCAGTCCCGTAACATCGAGAGATTGCAATGTTTTTTCTTTTACCGATGTGTAGTCACCGTAGCAACTGCGAGTGATGGGGAATATCTGTCTGACACGAGAAATGTTTTTCTTTCCCGCACACAACAGGTTATGACCAGATACCAGTAGACTCGATGCAAGGGTTAGAGATAGGTGGTGGATCGACGTATGATGCAGTAGGCACTATGGATGTTGCGCACGAGGGTGATTTAAGTTTCGATCATTTGGAAGAGCTCCCCACGCCGCCGCAGGATAACAATCAGGTAGCGGCCTGGTACGACACCGATCTCTGAATTCGTACCGTCAACGATCTTGCGTGAAGAGAGAAGAGAAGAGAAGAGAAGAGAAAGAAAGAAAAAGAGCAAAAAAATAAAAAAAAATGAAAAATAAAAAAAAACGAAATTGCACGATGGTTTATTTATTCAGCCGCCGTATGCAATAATTTTATGGCCAATACACGCACGCACGACGTGTTGATCTTAGACTGTTTTATTTATAAGACTCACCTTCGACATGACACAGTAGACCGATCGAAGACTATCTAACAACTTGACCACCTTTCGTTCGCGAACGCGGTCGCCTTCGAGTGTGAACGATCGTACAGTCCCGCTGGAGTGAGAACTTGTCGATTCAATCGAGGGAGACTCGTCGGATGATCATGATACTGTAAGTAGATTAGCGATGATCTCTTACTGCACTCGCACTCACCTTTCGCAATACTATGTATCACGGTGTAACTCTTCTCCCCTTTTTCCAGGTGTTTGAAACTTCCAAATAAAAGAGAAAAAAGCAGGGTCAAGTATAGCTAAGCGGAATTGCAGAGACCGGTGACGCAATTATGTGCAATCAACCATCATTAGATTAATCATTTGTTTTGTACAGTTAAGATTAGTAGCGATAGAAGATATCTCATTTATAATTTAGGAATTCGCTAGTATTATTCTGTGTAAATAGAAATATATTATAATTTTTCAAAGATGTACCCCCCTCTCTCTCTCTCTCACACACGGATTAATTATAATTCCTTATAGTCCTTTCATATTTATCTCGTTACGTTCAGGTAAATTGTTTTGTTCTTATCAGATTGTACAGACGCACGCACTTCTCTCGATATACTCAGTGATTAATTTGTGTGTAATAATATAATAATTTTGTATCTCGCGACTCTCTAAGCAAAGCATTTGAGACGAAAGAAAATTTTGAAATTTCCAAAGGTCGACAAGTCTGAGATATTTCGCCGTCCCGAAACTTTTTACACACCCTGCAAATTCCCGAACAATACCAAGGGGTCATGCAAAGGATAATAAGGGGACATGACCCGCTCGCTCGGATTGTCGTGGTTGGAGTACTGGTGACGCGGCCATGTGCAATCAATCGTCACTAGGTTGATCATTCATTGTACAGTTTATTTATCATTAATATCTCATCGATAGCTTGTATCTTGGTTCGTAGATGCAGCGCGCACCGAGTTCAATCGTTTAATTCTCCTGTCGCCTGTTATTCGCGTCGGACGAAGAAGAGCCAAGTGTCTTTCGCCAACGATATCTTCTTCTCTACTGTGTGCTCTCAACAACAAGTAACAAGTCGTGTCGAGGCGCCAAGTGCGCCAAGGGCATTGGTTGTACGCGCTGCCGCGTTATAGGCTACAGTGTGTGTAATCCTTTAGCGTTCTCAAGAATTATAGAAGGTGCTTGCGTGACAACTTCGCGCGAGGTTGCATCGCACTTTGTACTAAAGGAGGAAAGAAAGAGACAAACAGAAGGGAAGAAGGAAACGAAACGATGCTCTGCGGCTCTCTCTCTCTCTCTCTCTCTCTCTCTCTCTCTCTCTCTCTCTCTCTCTCTCTCTCTCTCTCTCTCTCTCTCTCTACAGCGGCACATTAAATAGTATTCCTCGGCTGTACAAAAATCTCCATCTCCACCTACGCTCCTCCTCGATCGTCGTCGTCGATTTAATACTAATGTCTGGCTTCGTATCTTGTCTCGCGAGACTGCGCTTACATCTCGAATAGAATATTTACGCGTATTCCGTCGAACGGTATCTAGGGAATACATATTTACTACATTTACAGGCACTATCCTCTTGAAAATCGAGTAATCTACCATCACCCGCGTTTTCTACATCAAACGAGGAGGAAAGGAAAACGAAGGAGAGCAAAAGGGCGAAAGCTCTGTGTGTCGAGCGTGGGGTCGTGTGAGTTCGTGTGAATGTACGAAACGAAGTTCCTCCGGAAAAACTGTGTCGCGCGCGCGAGTCGAGGAATCCCCTCGGAGAGGTGTCCTTTCGTTCCGCGAATTGTCGCGATGCAATCCGCCGGATCGACCTGGCGCGGACACTTGACAGCGATGTCTTCCCGCTAGAGACGCCTCTGAGAAGATATCTCTCTCTCTCTCTGCGAAAACGCTTCTGATGCAAAAAGCAACATCGTATAAAAACCACGGCGAATGTTCCTGCCTGCATCCTTTACAATTCGCATCCTCCCCTCGCGATATGACACAAGTACAATAGTTACACAATACATCTCTGTAGTACACACAGCTTCGTTCGCCGCTCGGCGCGACTCGTCACCTTTTCGTTCTTTTATAAGAAAAAGAAAACCAGACAACGGCTCGACACACGTCGATAAAAAGTGCAAGACCGACGATGCGCGCGTACATCGCGCACCGCCGGTGGGTAAAACAATCGATCGGAGAACGCGTTTCCTCGACAACTCAACTCAACCATCAAAGACATACCTCCTATGCAAAATTGCTCGCGTTCTAATTACAAAACCTTGCCTCGCGATCATTCGAATGACATGTCAGCCGTATCGTCGATTACACAGTGCGCCGAATTTGGTCGAATATCACATTAAATCATCCGAGTATCATCCTCATACATCTGCACTACACTTCGTCGTGTTTGCTTCTTCAGGTCTGTCGTTCGTCGACAGACGCGCCGCCATATTATACAGTACCGACGAAATTCCTTCCAGTGGTTCGACTCAGGGAATATAATGGAGAAAAGAAAATCTCACTCACACGCATCTCTCAGCTTTTTCGTTTGCATTCCGTCAATATTCGAGTTCTCTATTTTGCTGTTTACATTCCACAACAGGTTTCACGTGACACAATACGTTCGACTTCGGTACAGGAGATAAAAGACTCTCTTTCGTCGTTTCCTTCCTTCGCGCGGAACAATAGTTCCGACCTCCGGCTAACTTGCGTCGACCTCGACGATAACACATCGGTAAAAGTGAAATTCTTCGAAAAAGAAAAAAGGGACACAAAGAGACCGACGTCCTCTCGAAGACCGTCTCTGCGTTTCAACGATGATACACAGCAACAACGTACAGCTCTGTCATTTTTCTACATAATTCATCGAAATCATATTCTGAGAACTTAAGAAAGCACCGTGTGTTTACTCGCAAGTATGAGATACGGTTAAAATGATCTGCGCATTGTGCGCAACTATGCGTCGGCAATTAACGGTTAAATATCTTTCTCGCTCTCCCTCTCTCTAACGAATCACTAACGGTAGAAATTAGCGGCACAAGAACGGGTTGTCACAAATGAGTATATACAAAAGAGGGGGTCGACAATCAAATCGACGGCGCGTGTGTACCACGGCCCGAGGAAACGCGAGAGAGAGGCCTCTTGCGACAAAGTCGCGAGTCCGCTCGTGCAACGCTCGCTGCGCGGTACAGCTCCGCCGACGGTCGTGTTTTTTTTCTTATCCTTCTCCTTTCCTAATAATCTTGACACGATTTATAATCGGTTACTTGAGACTCGAACCGAGCATTTACGATTCTCCGCAAAACGTAATCCGTATAAACAAGATTGCCGTAATCAAGACGGGACTTGACGCGACGTCAACGAGATTTGGCATCTTTCAGCGAGCTCGTGCGAAACTCTCGCTCCGTACGAGAGAGAGAGTCGTCATCCATCTCTCTCTCTCTCTCTCTCTCTCTCTCTCTCTCTCTCTCTCTCTCTCTCTCTCTCTCTCTCTCTCTCTCTCTCTCTCTCTCTCTCTCTAACACACACATATACACACATATACACACACTCTCTCTCTCTCTCTTTCTTCCTCTTTCCGGTGCTCGATTGTAGAAGGGCGCGGGGGAAATCGTTATTCTGAGCAAACAATAGCGCAACTACTGTTTCCCTGGTGAAAAGCTCGAACGTCTATGCCGAAGTAGCATTTGTACCATAAAAAATTAAGCTTAAACGATTTTATACACTATACAGCGTCGCGCGCGTTTCTTTCTCTCCTTCTCCGCTCATCGTACGACGGTCAGTAGTCGACCACTATTGTGGTCGCGCGATCGACTCCGCGGTCTTAGTCTCGCGGGGAAAAGAGTGCGCGAGGGCGATGTAACAACAAGGGCACAGGGCATGGAGACTGGGGTGAGTGGGGGGGAGGGAGGGTGTAGAAATACGCGGTAGTTATGCTCTATTTGTCAGGCGCTGGTGTTGGCGACTCGGCACACCGCGGCTGAAGAAGCAACAGCGCCGCCGGTCCCTCTTCTTCAGTGGTGAGACAACGCGCACCTGCTGGCACGTGAATGCCGCGGAATCTCATTCGCCGCCCGACACGGTCACTTCCCGCCACGTTGGTTCCTGAGTGCTTTGGCTGACTAACGTCGACTGCGGAGGTTCCGAGATATCCAGCGCGGCGGGGCTCAGCGGCGGACTAGGTGTCGCGGGCGCCTCCTCGGACCGATTGCCCTCCGCCGCCGCGGCGTCCTGCTCGGTCTCACCGTCGCCGGTGAGCGACGCTTCCGACTGCGCGGAGCTCGGCGCCTTGGACAGCGTGGGATCCTGTGCCCGTAACGATATAGAGCTACCTTTATTGCTACTGCCGTCTTCACCTGGAAGCAAAGACCGACAACGAGGAGGCAATGAGGAGGCTCTGACGTCGCGAAGCAACGGAGGAGCTAATGAGAGAGAGAGAGAGAGAGAGAGAGAGAGAGAGAGAGAGAGAGAGAGAGAGAGAGAGAGAGAGAGAGAGAGAGAGAGAGAGAGAGAGAGAAAGCGCGTTTAACATTGTTTACAAAAAAGTATCCTGGCAGATCTGCAGGTGAGTGTTATACAGGGTGCGTTTGTTTTTCGAAAAGTTTGTTGTTCTTAAACGTTGCTTCTCTTAAACAACCCGCAATATGCAATAATCTTTCCAACAACAATATTTGAATTCCGGTCCTACTTTGGACTTTTGACTTTGAATTTGGCTTCTTGAACCTTGAACCTATGGGCCACTCTTTTCAACGAACAAATCAGCAGGGTAGATCCGTGGGACAAAATATCGCGATTTGCATAAAGTAATAAAGCAATCTCTAACTCACCACAAGGCCTAAGAACGAGGTAGAAGAGCAGATCAGAGAGGGATATTATACCGATCACTTTGTCATCATCGTCGATCACTACTAGCCTATGGACCTGGAATATACAGCAGACAGGAACGTGTAATAAATTTATAGTCTGCGATTGTGCAATTATTTTACGATTGTCTACGATCGGTTCGCCATTTACGCACCTCCGCTCTGACGATCCTTTCCATTATAGCGAACAGTGTCTCGTCTAGCTTGCAACTCTGGACGCCTTCGAACCATTCATTGCGGTGTTCGTTCGCCTCGCGCAATGAAACGTCTAGATTATTGTAAGTTTTTTCCGCGGCTAAATTCTGCAACAAGGCAACACAACGCGCGTTTATAGACGCCATTCTCAACATCCTCCACAACACGTCGTCTCGTCGACGTCATGTCTAGCGACGGAGGCAACTTACAATAACGTCAAACTTCGAATAAATGTTCACTAGCTTGCCGTCGGTGTCGACAATCGGCAACGCCGAGACTCTCCTCTCTACGAATTTCTTGAGCGCTAAAATTATGCTAGTTTCCTCCGTAGCTGTCTCTATGTTCTCGAAAGTGCCTATCCTCAGCTCCCTCAACGTTTTATTGGTGAAAGATGGTTTTGGTAACTCGTGGATCTGCAATGTGAGGTCAGATATCAATTCGCGGGTCGGTAATTGGTTCTAGCGCCGTCACTGGCGCTGGAATGGAGGAATACGCGAACACTCACATATAGGAAAAGGAACCTAAGTATTCGTTTATGTGTCAAGATATAAAGGACGTTTCCGGTATCGGGATCTATCACAGGCAATCGGTGGATTCTGTTTTGTATCAAGGTCCTGATGGCCTCGTACAGCGACGCGTCCGGCCCGATGCTCACAAGAGGGCGAACTTGATCCTTCAGAACCTCTGAAATCCGAAGATTTTCCTCACACAGTCTTCTCCCCGTCTCTCATTACGTTCAACAACAAAGCGACGGAGTTTAAACAAACGGATTGGACATCGTATCTTTTCCGATTCTGAGCAGACACGATAAGCAACGATCTCACGACGAGTGTAACTTTAGATTACCTGTCCCTGTCCCTTTCCGAAGGACTTTTGAACTAGCGCAACAAGTCGGAGCGAAACAGATGGATAGATTTTCTCTCGTTCTAACTTATCGGCACTAGTGCGCGCCTAGTCAGTTCAAGTATCAAAAGCTCTCAAAAGGAAGAAACAGTGCCATAATCGATGCAGCAATTCGATGGGAACGGAGGAAGAAGAAAACTCACTTCTCCATGTATCCAGCTCGTGCTCCTCCAACTCGTCCATTGTCACCGACGGACTGGTGTAATACATCTGAAGTATCTTTATGAAATCCGTTATGGTTAACATGCCCACAAACTGCTGCCGAGAACTGTCCCATAACGGCGCGGCTCTCACACCTGCAAGCATTTCGTCATCGTTAACAAGCAAGACTCTGGCGACCAACCAGCAGCAGCAGCTGGATCATCGAGCCAGCTCAACCGCATCGTTCTCACCGCTTTGACTCACCATTGTAGACGAGAGCGAAGAAGGCCTTTTTAACTAGTAGGTGCGTGTCGAAGACGACTAATTTCGCGCTGGTTGGTATTAGGTCGTAGCATTTGTGAAACTTGAAAAACTTAACGAAGATCTGCGACTCGTCCTCCTCTGAAAGGCCAAACAGTTGACAGTAGAGCAGGGCCTTGCGATTGCGACGGAGCATTCTCGGGTCTTTTTCTCGCTGTTTTCACGCTGTGCGATGCGCATGTGTCAGAATATCTCGACACAAGGTGGGTCCGCTCTTCGCGGTCGGCTGCGCGCGCGCGGGGTTTGTGTTACAATCTCACTCTCTCAGACCAGTGTTAAGGTTGAATTCATTACTTTACGGAACTCTCTGTTAGCGAGTACGCGAATCAGCACGGCTTAAAAAATCTCAATTTTCCCCTCGCTTTTCCGCAAAAGGGATTTTTGCTTCTCGACAACTTCTTGATGGGGGGGGGGGGAGGGGAGGGGCCACAGACCCGCCGGCGATCTTGCAAGTTTCCTACGACGCGTCTGCGATCGCGACAGTCCCCTCGATGATGCTACTGTGGTTGGTTACTACCGGGTTTGTAAGAGCCGACAGTCGAGCGAATTTTGACGAGCGAAAAAAGAAGCGCCTGTCATCTCTCTGCGAACGTCGATTTTCAACGGACGCGCGCGCTCGCGCTTCCGTCAAGTTGCTGAAAATAAATAGCGGGGCCTATCCGAGACGCCGATGTTGAGTTAACAAGCGCGTTAACGACATCGCGACATCTCGCCTCGATAGCGCGCGATACATAATTTCACGAGTTGCCACGGAGTTGCGAACGGTATTGCGCAACGCGCGGCAACGGCAGCCACACGCGATTGAATATCGACGAGCGCGATTAGTTCGGACTCGAAAGCTCGCCTATTTATAAAAGCGAAGCATCGCGTGGCGTATTTCTCGTTGCGTATTTCGCCGCGGACGACGGCAAAGTGGGTGATCCGCCGCGACGCAGGAAGAAGTCGATGGAAAATTGCGCCGGACAGGCGCGCGATCTCGCGTAGGCGGCCGTGAAGGAGAAGAACGCAGAAGTGGGAGAGCGGACGTTTCTGAGAACGCGATTATGCGCGGAGAGGATCGAAACGTAATTCGAATTAATACGGCGAAGAAGCCATCGCGCTTCGGGATATTTCGCGCTGTGGAAGCGCCGATGGCTGCGAATGTGAACGAGCGCCGAAGAAGGCTCGCGAGCTTCGATGCGAAATAAATGCGGGGGGGCCCGTGAAAGCCTGCGCGCGCATAAAAGAACGGTGGATTATAAATAAAAATATATCAGAGGCAAACGATCTGGATTACTGCGACCCGCGCGATATCGGCGCGCAGATCGCGCGCAAATATTGAAGGAAAACAACGCTTTTGATTTGTTTCATTATCGCAGCTCGGAAACCCGCACCGTTCTCCTCTTATCGGCTCTTTCACGTATCATTCATCGTAAACATATCAGAGTAACAACAAGATGCAACACTCGGCGGCATTCTGTCGTCGAGAAAGCCACACAGCGACGCGATCGCATCTTATAATACTCTGCTATTCTGATGTCTCTACTCGCAAGTCGTCGAGGCGCAAATGTTTGAAAATATCACCGCGCTGAAACTCGCGCTTTTTTTTTTTGTACAGTAATAATCAACAAGGCGAGTTATAAAAAGATGTATATACAATTTCTTTTTTAAGGGGTAGTCTAAGGTTCCTGCAGCAGAGAAGCTCGGAAATATTTACCCTGCACTAATCGGTTCTTTTCCCGCAAGGTTAATTTTATAATTGTACTCATTTCACATTTCATCCCCCGACTTTAATCCAACTTAACCAAGCCTAATCTAACGAAACTAACCCTAACTAAGCTAGGAAATAGTAAGAAATAATTTTTACGGCACAAAGTGTCCGCGATCTTTTAGAAACGAAAAATTGTGAAGATTAATCAGACGAAACTGAGGAGAGAAAAGTCATGTACCATTTTGCAAAAATTTTGCCGGGATTTTTCAAAAGATCCCGGATACCCCGTATATATAACGTTTGCCACACACAAGGTGTAATCGAAACAAAGAAACTTTTCAGTCCGCCTTTGAAGATGCAAAAAGATTCAAAAGACGATAATATAATTTCATTTCCCAAACTTTCTTCGGCTAATAAAGTTAGGTTTAATTGGTTCACAGGTCTAGTTTGGGTTAGGGGATGAACTTCGGTTTGCGTGGAAACCTGCAAACTTGCGTGAAATAGTTTAATTGTAAACCTGGCTTTGCGCAAAAAGCGCCGGTCGGTGTGGAGCGCGTATCTTCGAGTGCTTCCCTGCAGAAACCTCAAACTCACCCTTAAAAACTCGTGTCTGTGTAATCTTTTTACAGTTTCTTTTGCTAAATACTACAAGAAAGACCGCGAGATCCTTTTCGGCAGATTTTGCATTCCCAAACATTGACCTTCGTTGCCCTTCATTCACGACTGCGACGACCTCAGGTACTAACTCTTCTTCCCGGCCGTTCACTTATTTCCGTTTTGCATCCTTCGAGCAACAAAGAGCAACCGCGCGCGCTGCCTCTCACTCGTCACGGTAATTATTATCGCGCAATCGCATCGTCTTGTGCAACAACGATCCGAGGAGAAAGCCGGCAGCAGTCCGAAAAGCACTTTGCGGAGTCGCCGAGAAGACAAAGACTGATCGATTCTAGCGTGAGTCGCGAAACAAAGCCGCTCAGGTAGCCAACGAGGATAGGGAGGGGGGGGACGTCTCTCGATTTCCGAGCAAGCAGCCGTCATCACCGAGGCAACACCCGGACACTGCGGGATGTCCGTTTCTCTTCCGCATGATCGCGACGAAGGACGCGCTGCAGATCGCGATGAACTCGCGACGGAAAACTCGTCGCTTACGCAACACGACGGCCACTTTTTGCGGAAGCCTCGCGCCGACGTCGCGCGCGAATCTCGGAACCGAGATGTTCGATTCTCCGCCGTCGATCCGGCCGTCGGAGAGATCGCAACGCGACTACCACGCCGGGGACTGGCTGCTCCAGCTTGGCGCGAAGGAGACCGCAAAGGTGCGCTCTCGCGAATGGCTACGACACGAGCGAGGCGAACTGAAGGTTCGCTCGTTTATGCGCGCGCGTTGCCGCGATGCGGGAAAGTGGAACGCCGGGGCGATGCATCCGCGTCCGCGGGAACGCATTGACTATAGGAGGTGCCAGCCTGTGTCGCGGTTGTCATGAGTCTCGCAACGCGCGGATGTCATAATTGGCTGCCGAGCGGGCGCGCTATCGGGCGGAGGAAAATTGGAGGCTGCGATGTGAGTCTCGATAGGCTCTTGGCATCCACACCGCTCTTGCTTTACCCAAGTCGCACCGCACCGCGTGTCTGAGATTGGTCCGCAGTCAAGGAAAAGTCAAGTTAGTTATTGTAGATTAGGTAATTTTGAACAAAAAACTTTACCCCTTTACCATTTTGCAAATAAATAATGCGGAGTTTCTCGAGTTATCGATCAAAACAGTTTCCTAAATGTTCACCGAACAATCAAATGATCATTTTCCAATGACTCAATTTTCAAATTAATAATTCGGTTAAATATCGCGATTTTTGCAAAATGGTGCTTGACTCTTTTCTCTTCTCAGTTTGATCCCCGTGATCAATCTTCACAATTTTTCGCTCCCAGAAGATCTCGGCCACTCTGTATACACATATTTGCGTATATGTGAACGTCTGTTTTTTACCGAGGCTCGTCGTCGTTTTCGCGCGTTGTCATGGAATATTCAAATGCGAAATGAGACGCTTGTTATGACGGAACGGCTAAAACGGAATCGTCGTCGTCAGCGCAAAGATTCGCTTCGCGCGCGCACGGACGTGCTGCACGTTAATCGAACGCCGTCGGCTGGTATCACACACGCGCCATTTCGCGGCCACTTGACGCTACAGCGGCAGCGGCTCGATAACGCAACACCGCGGAGAGTTTAGTCGTCTTGGCAACGCTCGGTCGCCCAGTTGCGTTATCCGGTCGGATTAACGTTAGGACGAAAAAGCGCGACGAGTGTAAAATTCGTGAGCGAGGTGCGATCGCGCTCCCTCCCCCGCGCCCTTCCCATCGGCGGCAGGTTTGGCAGGCGGTTCTCGCGCGCGGTACCTCTGGCCAGGATCCAAGCGAGCTCGTCCTCAAGAGGCGGGTTCTCCACCTCGAACTCCTTGATGAGGTCCTTGGAGTACACGGGATCGTCGTCCTGGCACCACCAGGCGGCCGCGACCTGCCTCAAAGCGGCGCGCACGCTCTCGGAATTTGAGTAGTAGTGCAAGGCCAGCATTATTTAACATTGTCCGACGACGCAGTGACCGACGCAGAGTCACGGTCGTCGAGTCGTCATTTCCCCGCGGACGCTAATCGCATTCCGCGTCGTCGCGCGATCAGCGTGACTCGCCCGGAGGACTTTTGTCGTCGCGCGTCCTCCTCTCCTCGAGCGGCCGCCCCGTTCTTCTCTTCGTCCCTCCAGCAGCACACACCAAGAAGACGACAACGCGGGCTTTTGTTCCTCGGGATATTCACGTCTCGCGCGACTCATTCGGAATGAGAGAGACGAGCATGAGGAGAACGCAGACGCCACTCATGGCGGGCGGGCGTACTTCTCCACGAGAAACTGAGGACCTGAGGTTCTTCCGGCGTTCGAGTCCTTGCAACCGTCTTACTCACTGGAACCCCCTTGTCACTGGACGACGGCGCGGCTTCTTCGAGCTTCGTCGACCTGGCGCTCTCGTCGTCGGTGACATTCCCTGCGAGATCCTCCCGAGGATCGTCAGCTTCGTCACTGGCGAATGCAACGACTGTCTGGCCGCCTCGTCGGCGTCTCGCTCTAGCTGTCTCCTCCTGTCTCTCTCGCTCGCTCGCTGGCTCTGCGCTTCCTCGTCGTCATCATCCAAGCGACGTGCCAAGAATAACCGCCGAATCCGAGAGCGCTGCCAAAAGAAAGAGAGCGGAGCGCGCGCGCGAGCTGGCCAGAGCCGAGCTCGACTCTTTCACGGAACTTTCCTCGCTTCGACACGTCGTTTTTAATTAACAGATCGCGCGAGATCGCGCCGGCCGAAGAAGGTGCGACGGAGCAGACTCGCCAGGATGACGAAACCGCAGCCCGACCGGAGTCAGCCCCTGTCCGACCAAACTGCGACCCGACTATTGACACCCCGTCGCCTCTGCCGCTCGGCACGTCTAATCTTATCAGGTCGACGCATTACACTCTGTCTCTATTAGCTTTCGCCTGATCGTTGCGCGCCCGCGAGCGCGAGGGCTTTCGAGAAAGGGAGAGAGCGAGAGCGAGAGAGGGGGAGAGAGAGAGAGAGAGAGAGAGAGAGAATGCATGAGCGATCGATGAGCCATTCAGTCGGCGCGAGTGACGAGAGCAAAAGTTCGGCGTGCGAAATGGAGGAGAGAGGAGGATGTCGAGGCCGCCGGCGTCCGCGGAATCAACAGCCGTCGCCGTCGCCTCGGAGGAATCCGAAGGGCGGCCTCCTCGCTGGCGCGCAACTTCCGCCACGTAATAACTTATCGAACGCGGTCTGCCCCATCACCTAGACCTAGATAGGGGTGCGCGCGAGCGAATGCGACGCAGAATGCGAGCGCACTGCACGAGGCGAAGCTGTATCGCGAAGCCCTCTCCGTCCCTCCCGCTCGCCCTGCCCCCTCTTCTTTTCTCGCCCTCTCACGCTCTCTCTCTCTCTCTCTCTCTCTTTCTCTCTCTCTCTCTCTCTCTCTCTCTCTCTCTCTCTCTCTCTCTCTCGCTCGCTCGCTCGCTCGCTAACGCCGCGAGCCAGCTGGCCTCCCGGGAGCTCATCGATCGCCACCATACACCTCCTCCAGCAGGACACGCTCGGAGGACCTAGTGGCACGGTTTCAAGGGGAAAGCTGTACACACGGGCGAAAGTGCACGTGGACGATCCGGGAGAGGAATGCAACCCCCCGGATGCACAAGAACCACGCGCGCGCTACGAGAGCTTGTCGAGTCGGAGCGCGACCTGGGCGTAATTAAACTCAATTACGCGGCCACGCTCTCTCCCTCCCCCCTCTCTCTCTCTCTCTCAGGATACGCACGCGTCGTCCTTTGCCGCGCGATTTTCGCTCGGCCGCTTGTTATCCCCTCGCTGCGTGTCAAACAGCACAAAAAGAGAGAGGGGGGAGAGAGAGAGAGAGAGAGAGAGAGAGAGAGAGAGAGAGAGAGAGAAAGGCCGCGAGGTACTCGTCGGAAATGTCGCGGCTTTTCCTTCGATCGATCAGCAGCGCCTTTGTTGCGCCGGATATTCTCTCTCTCTCTCTCTCTCTCTCTCTCTCTCTCTCTCTCTCTCTCTCTCTCTCTCTCTCTCTCTCTCTCTCTCTCTCTCCCTCTCCCTCTCTCTCGCCCGCTACTAAATTTATAACTCCGGCGAGGGAAGTTTCTTCCGTCGACACGCACACCGTACAGCACAGGTTTTATCGAACACCCCTCCGAGAGATCGATGCGGCAGGAATTAGCACGGATTTAAGCGGGAGAGCCACCGCGCGCTCTGCGTTGCTGAAGAAGCGCTTACTTGTTGCGTCGATTGCGGGCAATCGAGCTCTCGCTCGCTCGCTCGCTCGCTCTCTCTCTCTCTCTCTCTCTCTCTCTCGGGAGAGTCCCGGTGGCTCTCGCGCGAAAAATCGCGTCCTTTCTCTCCGTGCCGGCGGCCGGTCCTCTCGGAAGGTCAACCGTCGAGAAGCAAGATCCGAGGCACGCGCAGGGTCGTGTCAGGAAAGGGTCGTGTCGGAGGAACTCACCGAGATCGGAAAGCGAGACTTTCTCCAGGAAGGGATCCACCACCGGCAGCTGTAACACACAGAGAAAGAGAGATCAGCCAGATATTCACCCCGCGGGGACCATCGCCGCGACCATCGCAATCGCCACGCGCGGCGGAAGGAGAAAACTCCTCCTCCATTGCAGGATATCACAACACTCGAGAGTCGCGCGCTGTCAACACGTTGAAACGTGCGCGACAGTTTCATCTGCGGCGAACACGATTCTAATCGACCGCGAATCGGAAAGTGCGAAGCGGACCGAAGGACCGGTGTCGACCGGTTTTCCCCATTGAAATCTCCCCGAGCGAACCGGGCCAAGGACTTGGTGCTGGACGCGCTGAAAAGCCGCCTCGTCCGATTCCGTTTCTCCCAGACGAGCATCGCACAATGAAGCATTGTTTCTCGGCTCGGGAAGCAGAGAGGCGTGTACTCGCGCGTCCAGGACGCGCTCTCTCCCTCGGCCCGCCCGAGGATCTTAGCGCGCGCGCGCCTTCGACCTTTCTTCCGCGTATCCGCGCATCCGCGTCCGTGAGAGAAAAGGATGTACTACCAGCGCTCGCTTCAGCAAGGACCTCGGACTGAAGGTGTGTCGCCTCTTGACGTTCGTGATCTTCGTGTACCAGCTCGTGAGAATCCCGGAGCCGGTGGCTTGCGCCACGTCCGCCGGGCTCCTGGCGATACTTCCGGTCGGCTCGCTCGTCTGACGTCGGAATAGCATCTCCGTCGAGCGATCGATCGCCGGCCGACAACGGGGGGCTATTTTAGAAACGAAACGTAGCGTCGTCGTCCGCGCGGCTCGGCTCGGCAACAACACACACCGGACGATTCGCGAGACGCGACGCGAGTTCGCTAACCGACGGAGAATAGATCGCGCCGTCGCCCACGTGAGGCATCGAGTGCTGGCGTTTCTTTTTTTCTACCCACGTATTTTCTATCCGTCGTCGCCGTCGCCGGGAGAGACAGAGAGACAGAGAGAGAGAGAGAGAGAGAGAGAGAGAATGTGCGCGCGCGAGGAAATCAACGGTGATCAGCGACCGCCGATCGCCGACTCAGCGCGGTGCAGCTCGGGTCCGGATCGCGCAGCTCCGCGACGAGAGAGAGAGAGAGATGTTTACATCGAGTCGTGACGAGCGCAGCCACGGCTAGCGTTAACACGTCGCTTAACACCTCCGGTAGCCGCGAAGAGGAACGCGAGCGTGCGCGCCAGGCCACTCGGATTATTCTCGACGGTGGCATAACTCTTTCGCGCCGCGGCCGGCCAGACGCGCGTCGGCGCGTCGCCAGCCAGGAACACGCGATTGTCAACAAGTGACGGGCCGCGGGAAGCGCGGGCAACTTGGCGTCAACCGTGACGTGGGTCAGCTGAGACGCCGATTATCGTAGGAGAAGGAGAAAGGCGAAACACGCTGCTTTCTTTCAGAGCTTTCAGGGTCTCCCGGCAAAACCGGAGAATTTTCCTCGAGGAAGAGCTGATTTCTCTCCGAGATGCAACGGCCGCCAAAGCGAACCGACAACGCGCGAAAAGCAAACGGTTTTCCAGGCGCCTTAGGATCGACTACTGAACGCGACGCGACGCGACGCGACGCGTTGTTGATATCCAGATCCAGTGACGAAGCGAGTGTGCGTTTTGCAGAACCGTTGCTGGCCGATTAAAAAAACAGAGAGACGTTGCCTGTTAGGTAGGACCCGGACGCGCGGAAGGACTCGAGTACTAAAGCCTGCTCCTTTCTCTTTGTCTCGCTCGCACTTGAATCTCACGTCGCAAGCCAGCGAGAGATGAAGAATAAGAGAAGCGGCAAGCAAAGAGCACATTGTGGATCGGGCTTAAGTCGTAAGCGAACGAACCAATCATAGTTGTCAATTTCCGTCCTGCTTACGTGCTACTGCTGCTTCGGCTTCTCTGCTCGGGTCCTCGTCGACGTGGACGGATCTGTATCCGCGCGTCGGCAAGGCCGAGAGCTCCATTGGCGAGAGGCGACGCTCGCAGGAGAAAAATCAGCCGGTGTCGTTCCGAACGGCGGATCACCCGTTAGAAAGCGCCTCCTCCTCTTTCTCCTCCTTCGAGCTACGCCCGTCTTTTTCCAACTTGCCCGACTAGCTCATTCGATCCGTGCCAAGAATAGTAAGGCGATAGATAGCACATGCCACGACACACGTAACAAGTACAACAAACGAACGAGAGAGAGAGAGAGAGAGAGAGAGAGAGAGAGAGAGAGGCGGCGCCGAGAGCCTTCGGCCCGCTTTGTGTATATCGCCGAGAAAAATTGATATTTGGCGACACACGGACGACGGCGACGACGATACCACGGCGGAATCGATACTCGCGTCTCGCGTTCCGTCACGAGGAAAGAAGAGAGAAGGAGGCTGGCCGGCTCTAAAAATACGCAAAACGTACAACACGAGCACGAGGCGGAAATTCAGCCGATAGATCAGCAGCCCGCGCGACTAGCCCCACCGCCGGACGGCTCGAGAAGCGGCGCATTTCTTTCTTATCGGTTATTTAATGTATCGGAATTAATTAGCCGCGTCGGCTACGTTAGCGTCGGCGCGTTGGAGCTGCGCTCTCTGCATTTCTGCAACGGAACGTGCAGAAACAGTTAAGCCGGAGCGTTACGCGGCACGACGCAATGTGCTCGCCTCGCACTCGCACTCGCACTCTCTCTCTCTCTCTCTCTTGCGCGCGCGCACGCTCTTTTTATCGCCGCGCCGCAGAGGCGTTGCGAGCGGATTTTTGCAACAATGTGTAGGCGCACGACACAGAGTTCCGATGCGACTACTCGCGACATATCCACCACAAGGCCGCCGCAGTAAGATAAAAAAGTGCTCGTGCGTCATGGCCGGCGGGAGAAACACGCGGCGTTCGATGCAACAACTTGTTGATGAGGCACGGCCGACGCCGCCGCTGGAGGCGAGGAAAAAAGAACGAAAACTCAACGGGATCTCCACGTGCGCGAGAGAGCGGCCTTTCGTGCTGTTTCTCGCGAAATTCAGCCGAGCCGGCCAGCCGGTCGATCCTCGCGGAGAATTTCGCAACGGCGACCGCGTTCGGCAAGGGAGAATCCGGATTTAAATGAAACGCCCACGCCAAAAATTCCATCATTGCGCCGCCGGCGGCGGCACGGCGGTGCCTCGCGCGCGCGCGCGCGCGCGAGCTCGCCGAGAAGACGCCCGGCGCGTGATATAAAAGCCGCGAGGCTTATCGCGCGCCATCGGCGAATCGGCTCGTAATGTTCGCTAAATATTTCAGCGAGCCGAGCGAGCGCGCGCGCGCGCGCGGCCGACGAGGATAAAGATTAGAACGGCAAATATTTGTTTCTCGCTGCGCGAGCGCGAAAACGCGTCGGAGGGTCGCGCGAAGAAGACGACGAAAAGTTTCTCGCTTGCGTGACGCGCGGAGCGAATCGAGGTGCGCGAAGCGACGACGCATTTCTCGCGTCCAACACGGAGGAGGAAGAAAGAGATCGCACCCACAAAAAAGAAAGTAATTTCAAAATTCCTCTTCATGTAAGAGAAAAATTAATTGATATAAGAGAGATCGTCTAATAAATTTTAGATGAATGGTTCACTTTAATCGGCCTTATCGAAAGAAGAATCCTTTTTCTGTAAGAGGCTTCGCTTAGAATATGAGACGATCATTTTACGAATCACTTTACGAATAGAATACTTTTTTCTGGGTGCGAGAGTGGAATTTTATATATATATATATATGCATATATGCGTACAGGGTGAGGGAAAAGTATCGCAGAGCGAAATCGAAGAAAAATCTACCCTTTTAAAACGAACATTTAAGGAGTTACTTAAAAATATTTCTCTTCGCAGCTACTCCAAATTTTGCCCGCATTTTGGGCCGGATCGTCCTCCTTTACTTTACAAGATACTTCATATTTTATATTAAAAAGTATGACAAATTTAAAAATATCTCAGAAAATTTTTAACCAAAGGAAGCTTTGTTACAGTGTTCTGAAAACGTCTCAACAGAAGCTGTACAAATATGTAAAAAAAAAAAAAAAATAATAATTAAATAAATAAAATTGAGGGCCGCGTTTAAAAAATTTCACTTCACCTTGTACTGGCCTTGGCGACGCCATTCAAGATCAAACCGATAAGATCAGTGGAGATGGATTTCCCTTAAACCCAACTTTTATCCGAAAAACACTTTTCCGAAAAAACTTGTATGTTTGCAGATTCTTCAGGATCTGCATACTTCTTCCTCACCCTGTATATTTGGTAACCAAGAAAGTTCGTGCCGTTTCTAGGTGTTGTCACTGCCCAACAGCAGATGCGCACATTACCAATTAAAAGTGGAGTTATGCCCAAACAAAAACTTATCAACGGAGAATTTGCCGGCGTGCGACGCTTACTGAAATTAATTGTTTAAACTTTTGCATATATTAATTAAAACACATATTACAAAACGGCACGAACGCGCTCTTGGTTATCTGATATATGTATACATTCGTATATATGAGACTCTTTGATACTCGTCGCGCGGCCATCTTGATTCAGGACCTCCAGCAAGGTGCGCGGAAACAACGGGATCCAAAAGAGTACAAAAGCGGCGCGCGCTTGCAACCGAGCAACCGAGAGCACACTCGCGCAGCACTCCGTGTGAGCACTTTCCTCTCGCCCCAACAGTCAATAAATTAGCGTGAAGTTAACGCGACAGAACGCGCGAGAAAAGCTGGCTCGCAACGTCACGTTAATTTTACGGTAATTTATCGATCGTCGGGGAAAGTGGCCGGAGTATTTTTAGGCGCGACCGGTCGATCGCAAGTGTCATTTTCGGGCCGTATTTCTTCGCTTGGACGCGAGCATTTCGAGCATGCATTTTCTCGCTTCCGACGTCATCAAGCAAGATGGTCGCAGCGAGCGCACACACACACACACATACACACGAGCGGCCGCCTTAATCCCTCAGCTGTTAATGACGAAATACCGGCGATCCTGAAAACATAGAAATATGGCGTCCTGTTCCAATCGCCCCCTTGTATAAGGTTTTCTTTTCTTTTTGTGAAATTCGCGGATATTTCC